AGTGTTGCCTCAGATAAACTCTTTCAGTCCTCGGATCAAGAGTAATTAACTCTTTCAATCCTTGGATCAAGAGTGTTGCCTCGGATGAACTCTTTCAGTCCTCAGATCAAACCTTGGATCAAGAGTGTTGCCTCAGATGAACTCTTTCAGTCCTCGGATCAAGAGTAATTAACTCTTTCAATCCTTGGATCAAGAGTGTTGCCTCAGATGAACTCTTTCAGTCCTCGGATCAAGAGTAATTAACTCTTTCAATCCTTGGATCAAGAGTGTGTTGCCTCGGATGAACTCTTTCAGTCCTCGGATCAAGAGTAATAACTCTTACAATCCTCGGATCAAGAGTGTTGCCTTGCACAAACCTGAACAAATAAAGTCCTTCGACTCAATTTCTATGAACGAATTATTTGGGAAATTGAAACAAAACCCAACTCATTTTTTCAAATAGAATTGGGTCTCGGGGGCTAATTGTTTGGGTACTAAAATGGTCATACCCATTTTAGTCTTGGGTAACTCTACCCATATAAGCCCAAAGGCCATAAAAAAGGTATAAAAGGCCCCAAATAAGTCAAATACATCAATATGGCCTTCAACGGCCCACATATGTAATATTAGGGCTCATAAACCCACTTATGTACTCATATAAATACCCCTCAAAGGGCATAAGGTAAAGGGAGGTCACTCTTATCATCTAAGATGACCATACTCCTCCACTCTCTCCCCTAAACTCCTCTCAAAATATGCATTGTTTGGCAACTAATTTGGGCGTCGGAGGCTCCGCCCCGGGTTCAACCCCCGGGGCTCAGGGTTCATTTTGCAGGTCCATTCAAGGCCCAAATTCGAGGTTCTCAGACACCCCTTCAAGGCCCGGTTAGCTCATTTTTTGCCGAAACATATATATATATATATATATATATATATACATTTAATACAACATTGAGAATATACTTAATTGCATCATAGTTAATCAAAGGTACTCATGTATAAGACAATCTTTCATTGATTTGATTTCCGGGAAAAATGAGAAACAAAAACTATATTATGACACAGAAGGAGTAATACTTTAGCCAAATGCTAATCAAGCTAACACAATACAAAGAATAAATTTAACTATAACTTTAGTCAAAAACGGATCCAGGAGGTGGCCAGCCCAGGCCATGACCCGCCCCATGATTCAGAAAACGTATAATACAATTTAGTTGCAATTATATTTGTTGAAGATAATTTGGCTGAGTTGGTTGTATCTCCTTATTGTTTGGGTTTAGGGATCGAGACCCAAAACATATATATATATATATATATATATATATATATATATATATATATATATATAGGGGAGGGATCCGGTAAGAACCCCTCCTTATATAAGAACCCTAGTTATATAAGAACCAATCTCAGCCGTAGGATTAAGGTAATTTAGACGGTTAAGATTAAAACACGTATTTTTCCTCATACCCCCTACGGCCCTACCACCCGATCAAAATTTTCTCTCTCCTCTAACTTTCTCTCTCTTCGTGCTCATCACATTCTCTCTCTGCAAACCCCCAAAAATCTCCATAGAAATTGCAATTTGAAGGATTTTCGACTCAGGTATGTTTTTTTTTTCGATTTTGTTCAAATTTCCATGAACTTAGCATGTTGTTCAAGTAGATTTTGCGATTTTTTGTTTTGATTTTTGCGATTTTATGTTTTCCAATTTTTTGATTTGATTTTGCGTTTTTTTTTTTATTTTGTTCAAATTTCCATGAACTTAGCATGTTGTTCAAGTAGATTTTGCGATTTTTTGTTTTGATTTTTGCGATTTTATGTTTTCCGATTTTTTGATTTGATTTTGCGTTTTTTTTTTTTTTATTTTGTTCAAATTTCCATGAACTTAGCATGTTGTTCAAGTAGATTTTGCGATTTTTTGTTTTGATTTTTGCGATTTTATGTTTTCCGATTTTTTGATTTGATTTTGCGTTTTTTTTTTTTTTTATTTTGTTCAAATTTCCATGAACTTAGCATGTTGTTCAAGTAGATTTTGCGATTTTTTGTTTTGATTTTTGCGATTTTATGTTTTCCGATTTTTTGATTTGATTTTGCGTTTTTTTTTTTATTTTGTTCAAATTTCCATGAACTTAGCATGTTGTTCAAGTAGATTTTGCGATTTTTTGTTTTATTTTTGCGATTTTATGTTTTCCGATTTTTTGATTTGATTTTGCGTTTTTTTTTTTTTGATTTTGTTCAAATTTCCATGAACTTAGCATGTTGTTCAAGTAGATTTTGCGATTTTATGTTTTCCGATTTTTTGATTTGATTTTAGGTTTTTAATTGAATTTTGATTGTCAATTTTGTGCTTTGTAACTGAAATTGGTGGTAAGTTTCTGCTGGTAATTAGAGTTTTGCGTTTTAAATGAATTTTGATTGTCAGTTTTGTGCTTTGCAACTGAAATTGGTCCTGAGTTTCAGTTGATATATTAGAACCTTGCATTTTAAATGAATCTTGATTACCAGATTTGTAATTTGACATAGATTGCTTATGAAATTTTCCACTTGCTCTTTTTATTTATTTTTGGATATTTTACAATTAGTTGATCATATTTAGGAGTATCATGTGATTGAATATAGCTTGAATCAAATATGGCTTCAAAATGCCTCGAGTAGTTTATAGACGATCTAATTGTGTAGCGAGACCGGGAGTTGAAAAAAAAAATTTGCAATGTCAAGTAGACACTTGATATTTGTAGAACTTGGAGGAGATGCTTGATTTTTATTTTGTGCTTTGATCTGTAGCATCGAAATGAATTGTGCCAGATTAGTGAGGATCAGAAACAGTGAACAGAATTTTTAGTCATAGGAGTTACTCCCAATGAAAATTGATTTCTAGAAGGAATCTCTTAGGCTGAAAATTCCTAAGTAGTTTATCGCTTAAGTTGTGTTGATTTAAAAGAAACAATTCAAACTAACTTTAATCCATGGAATATTATTGCAATGGAGATTAATTTTCCTATGTTGGTTCTTTGCTTGAAAATTTGGAGAGGAAAGGAAGAAGGGGAGATGAAGGGTTAGAAATGGAAGGGGGGAGGAAGTTAAGTTGGGGAAGCACATGTAGCTCTCCTTACTTAGAACAGGAATGCTTTTCCCCCCCTTAGAAAAACTATTCCAACCTGGAAAGTTATTTTCATCCACTTACAAACCAAGCTAAGGAAAATTGGAAAAATTAGTGATTTTTTCGAATTTTGATTTCGAAATTGGTGATGTTGGTGCGATTGCCCCTGTTTGTAGGGGTTGTGGTGTGGTGGTTGATTTATGCAGCAGCAACTAATTGGTTAGGGGTTGTTGGTAGTGAACTTGTGATTGCAGGGCTGAAAATAAACTTTAGAACATAGGTAGAAAAAATTTGGAACATAGGAAAAAATTAGAACATAGGTTGAAATAATTTAGAACATGGGCTGAAAATAAACTCAATCAAACCTTATCATGTTTCTGTTTCATTTGTCTTTTAAATTTCTAGTTTACTCATTCTATTTTGGGTTTTTCACTCTCCAGCATGTTCTAAACTCTTTTTAAGCATGTTCTAAACTATTTTTCAGCATATTCTAAATTATTCCTATGTTCAAAAATATAATAATAATGTTGGAATGTTACTAATGTTTTTGATTTCTTAATGTTGCAGTAAAATGCAAGGCCAAAATGAAGAAAAATCAGAAGGAGGAGTTACTAATATACAAGAAGAAGAAATTACTTATGTAAGAAAAAGGTAACTAAACTAATGTTCTAAACTTTACCTATTATGTTTTAAATTTTGTTCTAAAGTTTTCCAATATGTTCTAAAGTTTTCCCTTAAGTTCTAAAGATTTGTATTATGTTCTAAAGTTTTCCATTATGTTCTAAAGTTTTCCATTATGTTCTAAAATTTTCTCTTATGTTCTAAAGATTTGTATTATGTTCTAATATGTATCCATTATAGTTTATGTTCATCTTATCTCTTTATATTTTCACTCTATTTAATATTAGTTGTATTCTAATTATTTTTGATTGTTTTTAAAGGAAAGTTGAAAACGTTGAAGCGGAAGTAATTGATAGATCGGAATTTGAGAAGTATATTGAAAGTAAAAGTGTTGCTATAAGACATAGAAAACTTCCAACAAGGCTTCAACCACCTCGAAAATTGCAAAAAAAGGAAGGAAGAGAAAAAGATCAAGAAGAAGGAAAAGATCAAAAAGAAGAAGAGGGTAATAATGTTAAGGATGATGACGAGAATAATGATAGTGAAGATGATGGCGAGGATGATAATAAGGGTGATGTAAAGATGAAAGAGAAAGATGAAAAAGAGGAGATGGAAGATGATAGTGAGGAGGAACAAAAAATCAATAAAAAAAATCAAACTCAGGTAATAATACTCTTTAATCTTTACAATCTTTATTTTTATGTTCTAAAGTGCGCGCTTATGTTCTAATTTTGATTATCTATGTTCTAATTATGTTTATCTATTCATGGTGAGGATGTGAAGAAGAAGAAAAGAAAGATTGAAAAAGAATAAGATGGTGAGGATGTCCAAGTAGTAGAAGCTAATGAGCAAGATAAACTAGTTAAGAGGCAACCTTATCAAAGAGTACTCCTACTCAATTCATGAAGGATGTGTTGATAAATCTTTCGGAAAAACAAAAGCAAGCTATTCGGAACATTGGTTTTGGAGGCTTTTTGGAATTGGATTTACCAATCCATATTAATTCTATGTAAGTAGTAGAATGTTATGTTCTAAAATCATATTCTAAAATCATAAGTATTATCAATGTTATGTTCAAAATTATGATTTGTCATGTTTGAATTGCTATACACTAATGTTCTAAATTATAAGATTATGTTCTAAATTAGTTATGCTCTAAATTTTGTGCATATGTTCTAAATAATATGATTATGTTCGAAATTAGCTATGTTCTAAATTATGTGCATATGTTCTAAATTGTATGATTATGTTCTAAATTATGTGCATATGTTCTAAATAATATGATTATGTTGTAAATTACTTATGTTTTAAAGTTACTTCTTGTATTCTAAAATTATGATCTCTCATGTTTGAATTGCTATACACTAATGTTCTAAATTAATTTTTTGTTATGTTCTAATGTATGTTTATTATGTTCTAAAATAGACTTTTTTTATTATATAATGTTCTAAATTATGTTCAAAAGTTTAAATATTATACTAAATGTTTTAATCTTCTATGTTCTAAAGATTGACTATTATATTCTAAATATAGCTGTATTGTGCTTTAAATCTTACATTTTTCATTATAATTCTAGGTTGACAGAAAACTTGGTTACGAATTTTGACACGGAGAGATGTTGTTTGATGTTACCAAAGAGAAAACAAGAAATCTTTTTGGAGGCAATTGATGTTCATTTGGCTTATGGGTTGCCATTGGGAGGCAAAAGGATTGAGCAACCAAATGATGAGTCAAATCTGAAATGGAGCAAGTTTCTAAAAGCTTGGAGAAGCAAGTTTGGCCTCAAAAAAGTATGATGATATAATGTGGTTATGTTTTAAATTTTATGTTCTAAAGTATGAATTTTATGTTTTAAAACGTAGATAATTTATGTAGTTATTTGACTTGTAATGTTCAAAATTATATTTAGCTATTTTTATGATATTATATTGGTATAAGATGGTTATGTTATAAATTGTATGTTCTAAAGTGCTTTGCTTATGTTCTAAAGTGTTTTCTGCTTTAAAATAGATCTATTATCTCCATAGGTTTTAATTTATATGTTTTTTTTTACCTCTAAAAGGGAAGTCCAACCAACAAGAGATTGATTGACAGAATTCAAGAATTGAAGAAGGAAAAATCAGTTTATGATGAATTTCTTTGGAACTTTGTGGTATGTGTTGTCAATTGTTGCATTCGATCAACAAACAACCCACAACTATACATTAAATTCTTGTATAGTTGTATGGATGTAAAGAAAATTGCTGAATTGGATTGGTGCACATTTGTGATTGAGCACTTGAAAGATTCTGTAAGTGTATGGAAGAAGGGAAATTCTTACTTTACAGGTCCTTTACCTTTTCTAATGGTAAGTTTTAAATTCTTACCATTATGTATATATATTATTCTTGTTATGTTGAAAATGTGTGAAAAATATTCTAATTAATTCTTAACATGTACTAAATAGGTATTCTATTTTGATCGTCTACAAAGAGGATGGTTAGAAAAACCAAGAAAATGTCCACTAATTTCGGTGTGGACAAAGGAAAGGATTCAAGTGAGATATAAGTTTGAAAAAGATCATGGATTTGGATATGGAAAACTCTTGGAAAGAATGGAATCAATTGTGGTATGATATTTGTATATGCTTATGTTTAAACACTACACTTTATATTCTATCTATATTTGCTTACGTTCTAAAGTTTACCCTTTATGCTCTAAACTATATATTTTATGTGATAACTGTTTTAATATTTACCCCTAAATATTCTAAACTATATACTTTATGTGATAAACTATTTTAACATTTACCCCTAAATATTCTAAACTTTATATTCAACTTACTTTTGCCTATGTTCTAAAGTTTACACTTTATGTTCTAAAGTTTACCCTTTATGTTGTAAAGTTTATCCTTTATGTTCTAATCACTCAACTTACTTTTGCCTATGTTCTAAAGTTCTCTCTTTATGCTCTAAAGTTTATCCTTTATATTCTAAATTTTGTAATTCATATATTATAATGTGTAGGAAGAAAACAAGAAACAATCAAGACAAGAGGACAAGGAAAAGAGAAAGGAAGAGTCATCAATGGTAATTATACCTTTTAAATTATTACTACATATGCTTATCTTGTAAAAATTGAAAACACTTTATTCTAACCTTTATATTCTAATCTTTAAAATTTATGTTGTTGTTTTCTAAATTTTATAATTTATATACTAGAAGGCACCAAAAGGAAAAAAGAAACAACCAAAACAAAAGGAAAAAGAGAAGAGAATGGAAAAATCATCAATAGGTTCTAGTTCTACAACTTCTCGAAATGACATGATGGTATGATTTAGTTTATGTTCTAAATTATATTTTATGCTCCATTTAATCCTTTTCTGTTAAATTATCCATGTTATGTCCTTTATGTTCTAAAATATTTTTGTGTTCTAATGAAGGGCTTTTTGAGCAAATTTGGAGATTTGGCAAAAACACTTGCCTCGAATGTTAAAGAGATGTATGGCATGTTAGAACAAGCAAAAGATCTTTTTGTTGAGGAAGAAACAACAAGAAAAATGCAACATCTCATAGACAACATATGGTGCAAGTACACAACAAAGTTATTATAATTATGTTCTAAAGTATTTTCTGGTTGTGTTCTAAAGTATTTTCAGCTTATGTTCTAAAGTATAATAAATTTATATAAATATTGTGCATATTATGTTCTAAATTATAATTTCTTATTTTATAGACATTCGTGAACCAAGAAGAAAAGAAAAGCCCTTCTATACTCAGCCAAGATCAACATGTCTTCGATGAATCGGCATTTATTGAAGAATTGGATATGGTTATGGATAAGGCATGGAAGAAATTCGAGGAAACAAGGTCACCAAAGTCACCGACAGTTGGTAATTTCACATGTACATGCTTAATTTCCAAATTATACTTATGTTCTAAATCAGATGTTTATGTTTTAAAGTACTTTTTTATGTTCTAAAACATGCGCTTAAATCATATGCTTATGTTCTAAATTATATGATTATGTTCTAAATAATTGTTAAGCAGATTTGAGATCAAAGGAAGAGGAAAAAGATAAGAACAAAGAAGAGAGAAATGAAGAGAATAAAGACAAAAACTTGTTGATTCCCTCACCAGTAGTTGGTAATTTCACATTATTTTCAAATTCATTTTTTATGTACTAATATTTACTAGATATGTTCTAATATTACTTCTTATGCTCTAAATTTTTTCTGGTTATGCTTTAAAGTTAATTCTTAATTTTTTATATTCTAACTATTTCTAGGTTGTCTCCTAATTGTATATATTTCTTATGTTCTAAAGTTACTTTTTATTTTCTAATTATTTTTTGCTATTTGCTATAATACTTAATTTTTATGGTGTAATTGCTATGAAGATTTGGGATCAAAAGAAGAAGAAAAAGAGCAGGACAGAAAAGAGAGAAACGAGGAGGAAAAAATTGAGAAGAAAGAGAAAAGGAATGAGGAGTCACCAAAAACCCCAATTCCTCCAAAAAAGAAGCAACCTTTTGATATAACTCCTCCAAGTTTCAACTTATTGACCCCCTCACCAGCAGTTGGTAGTTTTACATTATTTTCAAACTCTTTTCTTTTGAACTAATATTACTAGATTTGTTCTAAAATTACTTCTTATGTTATAATTTTTTTTTGTTATGTTCTAAAGTTATTTATGATGTTCTAAATTTTTTCTAAATCAGATGCTTATGTTTTAAACTACTTTCTTATGTTCTAAATTATGTGCATATGCTCTAAATTATATGATTATGTGCTAAATTATGTGCATATGCTCTAAATTATATGATTATGTTCTAAATTATGTGCATATGTTCTAAATAATATGATTATGTTCTAAATTAGTTATGCTCTAAATTATGTGCATATTTTCTAAATAATATGATTATGTTCGAAATTAGTTATGCTCTAAATTATGTGCATATGTTCTAAATTGTATGATTATGTTCTAAATTATGTGCATATGTTCTAAATAATATAATTATGTTGTAAATTAGTTATGTTCTAAAGTTACTTCTTGTGTTCTAAATTTTTCTGGTTATATTCTAGTTATTTCTAATGTTCTAAATTTTTTCCAACTATTTCTATGTTGTGTCCTCATTGTTTCTACTTATGGTTTGATGTCCCAGAAAATCAAGAAGATAATGAAGCAGAACTCATTTACGAAGAAGTGACAGCAAATGTTCTAAATTGTGCTTTTCTAAATCCAGATCATCCACCTACATTGGATGAAGAGGAGAAGCAAGAAGAGGAAAAAGAGGAGAAGAAAGAAGAGGAAAAAGAGGAGAAGAAAGAGGAGAAGAAAGAAGAAAAGGAGAAGAAGAAAGAAGAGGAAAAAGAAGAGAAGCAAGAGGAGAAGAAAGAAGAAAAGGGGAAGAAGAAAGAGGAGGAAAAAAAGGAGATCTACTTATGTTCTAAACTACTTATTTATCTTCTAAACTACTTACTTATGTTCTAAACTACATGTTCTTAGCTACAAGATTATTTTCTAAAATACATGTTATAAAAATTATATGCTTGTGTTCTAAACTATATGCTTATGTTCTAAAATGCATGCTTATGTTCTAATTTTGCTTATCTATGTTCTAATTCTGTTTATCTATTAGGTTTTCTTCCCGGTCGTTTTACCAGATCACTACTATTTGTTGTGTGTCAACTTTGTGGAAGGAACATTTGATTTGATTGACAACAGATTTCTTCCACCAAATATTCCTTTTCAAAATAAATATGGAAATTACCATAGATTAATGGTAAGACATCAAAGTTTACATTTTTTTAATTATACTTTTGTTCTAACTTTTGCCTTATATGTTCTACAGTTTTACCTTTATGTTCTACAGTTTTTCTTTATGTTCTAAAGTTTACCTTATATGTTCTAAAGTTTATCCAATTTTTCAGTTGAATGCATTTGGTGATTTCGTTCACTCAATTGACTCAAATATAAAGAGTGACTTTGTATCCTCCTTCAAAACAAGAAACTTGAGTATGTCATGGAAGAGCAATAAGAACAAACATGATTGTGGAGTGTTCCTGTTGAAGCACATGGAAACATATGAAGGAGAATCTGTAAAACAATGGAATTCGGGACTAGAATTAGACAATGTAAGTTTAAAACATAAGATACATGTTTTAAATTAGTTTTGTTTATGGTTTTGGTGTTATGGTTTTAGTGTTGTGGTTTGGTTTGGTTATTGTTTAGATATATTATGGTTTATTATATTTATTTATACTTATATGCTAAATTATATTCATGTTCTAAATTATATGCTTATGTTCTAAAGTATTTCTGTTTATGTTCTAAAAGTTACTCTTTTTTTTTTTTTTTTTTTTGCAGTTTGACCAAATGAAAAATTTAAGAGTGGAGTATTGTGGGAAGATAATAACAGCAGAAGTAAATGAAGAACGGAACAAAGTGATTAGGAGATCAAAAAAGTGGTCAAAGGAGAACAAAATGGATATATGATTGTTAAGATCTTAAGTTTATATTTGTAGAGTGATATTTGCAAAGAATATAACAGTAATTTCTTATGTTCTATGTATTTACCTGTTACAAGAAATATATTGTTGAATCATATTAAATGCTAAAATTTTAATATAAAATATATCATATAAACTTATATGCTAAATTATATTCATGTTCTAAATTATATGGGTATGTTCTAAAGTATTTTTGATTATGTTTTAATAATTATATGCTTATAAAGTTAGGATATTAGAATATATTATTATATATTAATTTTGACTTAAAACTTAAAGTGTAGAACATTAGAACATAAGAAAATTAAAAAAAAAAAGTAACAAGAAATGACAACAGCCAAAGTAACAAGATTCCAAAGCATTCAATTGGTAACTTGATTCTAATTATATCTTATTATGTTGTACTTTTTTCTTATTACATGTCCAAATTATTGATTTTGCTAATCTTCTAATTATTTTTATCTATGTTCTAAAGTATTTGCTTATGTTCTAAACTGGCTGCTTCTAATCCATTACTTTTGCTTTATTTTTCTTTTTGAATACAATGCATACACTCTTTAGTGCATATCTAAGAAGGCATATGTAAATCAATGTTAAGAAACTTGAATAAATAAAAGTTGATTAAAGCAAGATTCAACTAAATGTTGTTTAATAAAGGTATCTAAAATGCTTGTACTATCATTACTCGTAGTTCAAATTGACTTAATAAAACAACTTATAATTACGAAAAGGGGGGAAGATGAAAAGACAGGAGATGTTATAAAACATTATAATCAACTTTAATTAACATAAAAATTGATAAGAAAAACACTAGTAGAGATACTCTGAATAATAATTGGACAAAAAAGAAATAAAAATATATTGTTTCTAAAAGTAAATAAATTGAGTTCTTATATTTTAAGAATTACATGAATAATATTTTACGTGCTAGTAAATGAGATATTGTTTCTAAATATATAACATCTCATGCAACTGGATTAATAGTATATTCATCAACCTGTAAAGAAAAAAAATAAAACAATATTAGAACATAAGCACATAATTTAGCATTAAAAAATGTTATAACATGCCATTTCTATTAGTTTAGAACACATGATATTATATAGAGTAAAAACTTTAGAACATTTAAAGAAACCTTTAAAACATATAAATAAAACTTTAGAACATATAAAGAAAATATTTTGAACATAAAGAGAAAAGTTAAAATATAAAGGAAAACTTTAGAACAAAATGAATAACTTTATATTCTAAACATTAGAGCATATTGAATTACACTAAAACAGAAAGAATAAACATTAGAACATAGAGAAAACACTTTAGAACATAGAAAAGTAACTTTAGAACATAGAGAAAACACTTTAGAACATATTGAATTACTTTAGAACATATATGAATAACTTTATGTTCTAAACTTGCTTAGAACATAATTACTTTAGAACAAAATAAATAACTTTATGTTCTTAACATTAGAGCATATTGAATTACATTAAAACAGAAAGAATAAACATTATAGAAAAGTAACTTTAGAATATATTGAATTACTTTAGAACATATATGAATAACTTTATGTTCTAAACTTGCTTAGAACATAGTTACTTTAGAGCATATTGAATTACTTTAAAACATAAATAATAAACTTTAAAACATAGAAAGAAAGTAACTCTAGAACTTAGAAAGTAACTTTAGACCATTAAATGGATTACATTAGAACATAAAAAAAATAATATTACATGACATATATATTAGTTTAAAACACTAGAGGTTATGTTTGGAAAATAAGAATATTAATTTAGAACACAAAGTATAAATTATATATTAATTTTGACTTGAAACTTAAAGTTTAGAAAATTAGAACATAAGAAAATTAAAAATAAAGTTTACTTACAATATCACTTGACTTTTCCAGGGCAATTACGACTATCATGATAACCAAGCTCCCCACATGCTCTACATAATCTCTTCTTCTTTTGACTTTGTTCAATAGACTTTTCTCTGTCACTCTTCATTCTTTTGTCACTATTTGGAACATGAACCTCATTTGGAACATGGACATCATTTGGAACATGGACATCATTTGAAACATTTACCTGATTTGGAACATGAACCTGATTTGGAACATGGACATCATTTGGAACATTGACCTGATTTGGAACATGAACCCCCGTGCCTTTGTTCTTCGAAATTTTAGGAGGTTTGATTAAAACATTGGAAGGTAGACTAGCTTCAATAAGCATTTCAATGTCTTTAACTTTGCTCGAAAGATTGTTGCTTCCATTTGTTTTCTTCTGTTCCAAATCTACCCTCATGGCTCGAAGTTTTTTGACAAGATCACTAAGATCATCTTCATTGTTTTGCACTAAACTCACACAAGCATGAATTTCAGACTACAAATCATTTAATAACATTTTCTTATCTACTGCATTAATACATTCCTCCAACACATTACCCTCTAAATAAAAAATGGGCTTCTTATAAGCCATTGTACACCATCTATTTAGAACGTAGGCCTTGGGAATTTTTTCTAACATCCTTGCCTTCCACACCCAAATCATATGCCTACAAGGCACACCATCACGTTCAAATTTTTTACAAACACACTTGGTATCAAAGGTAGTTGGATCAAAAACAACATCAAAAGTCCTCCTTCTGGTTCCTTCCCTCAAATTGAAAATGTAAAGCTCATTGTCCTTCTTCATCTCCTCAACACCACAATTAAAACATCCAATTTCAAGCTCATATTGAAATTCATAGAAAATTGTTGTTGTAAACAATTCAGAAGCATCTTTCTCTAAAGGAATTGGAGTCTTACACTCCGGACGCTTATTCTTCGAATCATTATCCATTTTATTTTGAGTGTGCCTTTGAGCATCCAATGCACATTCAAACCTATAGAAAATAGAAATTAACTTTAAAACATAGAAGATAATTGTAGAACATAGAGTGAATTACATTAGAACATATAAATATACATGACATGTTTATTATGATCTAAATATTATTAAAACATAAAGAGAAAAAGAAAACATAAAAGAGAATTATAAAATAAATAGTAAAACTATAAAGCATAAAAAGAAAACTTTAGAGCATACAAGGAAAACTTTAGAACATAAAGAGTAACTTTAGAACATATATAGACAATTACTTATTACCTCATGTAGAACTCAATCAAAGTGAGATGGGGATTTGTGAACATAGTGAAAAAATTATTTTCACTTTCTGATCTAGATGTGGTCCTCATAATGCCACCCAAAAATAAATCTCTGAAATACGCTGGAATCCACATATCACGTATGTTGTACATGTATGCCAACCATTCATGATCGTTCAAATGGAATTCTGAAATAACTTTGTTCCACTTTTCTTCAAATTCTGCCGGCTCAATCTCTAAATGCCAAACACATGAACACAGTTTTTTCAAGAAATCAGTGTCTTGGGCAATCGCCCGACCTACTTTTTCAGGCACCTTTTTCATAATATGCCACATACAAAACCTATGTTCTGTAGTTTGAAAAACATTACGAACAACAACTTTCATTGCAGGGTCTTGATCGGTAATCAAACACACAGGCTCGTTATTTCCCATTGATTTAAGAAAAGTTTTGAAAACCCATTCAAAAGATGATATATCCTCATGAGCTACAAAAGAAGCCGCAAAAGTAACACATTTTTTATGATGATCAACTCCAGTAAATGGACCAAAGATCATATTATATATGTAACATACACAAATTATTTATGCAGAAAATGTTACAAAATAGAGGTAAACTTTAGAACATAGAGGTAAATTGTAGAACATAGAGGTATACTTTAGAACATTAAGGATAAACTTTAGAGGATAGTAATTTAATTTAATTATTAAACGTGGCAGTAATATAGTTGTTTTAAAACATAATGAATTACTCTAAAACATAAACACTAAACTAAAAATATACAATGTAGCTTTAAAAAACTTATAAGTAAACTTTAGAACATATAGACATAATGTTTAGAACATGATGGATATTAGTTTAGAACACAAAGAATAAAGTGTAAAACACAAAAGCATAATGTTTAAAGCATAAAAGCATGATGGATATATTTTAAAGCATAAGGTAGAACATTAGCAATATATGTTTAGAACATAAGGCATACATGGTTTAGAACATAAAGAATATCTGTTTAGAACATCAAAACATGATGGATATTTGTTTAGGAACACAAGGCATGATATTTAGAATATAAGAACATATGTTTAAAAAATTAATATGTAAAAGTAAAATATTAATTACATTATGAAAGAAATTTATATTTAAAACATCACCTGTTTGTTTTGAATGTGGTATCAAAAGAAACCATATCACCAAAAAGTGCATAATTTTTTCGACATATAGGATCAGCCCATAAAGCTCTACAAAGTCTATCTTCTTCATCAACATCATAGGAAAAAAAAATGCACTCCAGAGCAATTTCTTATTTTGAAAATTATCCACAAACATTTGGGCATCTGATCCATCAATAAAAGCCTTCAAATCTCTATAAAATTTTTTGAAATCTTGTTTAGATGCACCAACATTATCATGTGATCCAACTAATTCTTTCATCATAGTATAAGACCTCACAGGACCAACATTTACCTGTTAGAAAAAAAAAATATTACTAAGATTAAGAATTAACTTTAGAACATAGTAAATCAAAACAAAAAAAACATTATTTAGTACATAAAAATAAATCACCTTTGAATTATCAACAATCAACTTTTTATGCATAATATGCATTTTTCTATTATCCTTCTGAAATTTTGCACAACTTGGAGTATATAAAGGATGATTATGTTCTTCTTTGAAATGAGTTACAACATACTTTCCAGCATCATATCTCATACATATGTGAGCATTGCATCCTACACGAGTGACTAAACGTTTCCTAGTAATACGAACTTTTCCTTCTTCATAAACTGTTTGTTGAGCAATAGGTTTTCTTATTGCCCTAACCTTCCTTATTGCAAACTCCATATTGAAAAGCAATTATATCTTTGTTATTCTTCTTCCTTTTAGTAGTAGATTTCCTAGAAGTAAACCCAGCGGCATTTGCATATGCTTTATAAAAACTAAGACCCTCTTCAGGATCTTTAAATATCATCCCCAAACTGGGTTTTAACTCCTCGGGAACACTTGGAATCCATTCCTTAGTGGTACCACCAGGGCTAAATGATCCAACAACCTCTGGAGTACGATAAATATCACCAACTGCATTAGAACATGAAAGTAAACATTAGAACATACAATGAAAGTCCTAGAATATGAAGAAAACATTAGAACATAAAAAAAAAACTTTATAATATAAAGAGAAAGATACATAGAAAACTTTAGAACATACAGAGAAAACTTTAGAACATCAAGGATAAACTTTAGAATATAGTAAATTAGGGACATACTTATAACATATTGCTTTAGAACATAGTGAATTACTTTATAACATACATAATAAAATTTAGAATAAAGTGAAAAAATTAAACTAGAAGGTCAACTTTAGAACATACAATGAAAGTAAACATTAGAACATAAAAAGTAAAATTTAAAACTAGAAGGTAAACTTTAGAACATAGAATGAAAGTTTTAGAATATAAAGATAAAGTAGGATTCCCTACTCCCTATGTCAGATTGGTGGGGCCATGGTTCGGTGATTCCAGTAGCAGTGACATGCATCAACTATCCCTATGTCAGATTGCTAGGATAAAGTAGCATTCCCAACTCCCAAGCCCCCAATGCCAAGCTCCAAGACGAGCCTTGAGGTTGTTGTGGCATTATCCGATAATGATTGATATTGTTTACCCACAGTTTACTTTGAATCATTACAAATTATTTAAAATGGATTAGATATTTTTTATTTATCAAATTATTTAACTTCCTCAGATTAGTACCATAATATTTTATTTTAGCTCATGTTATTTTTTTGCACTACTTGAATTATACTCCGTATTTGGTTTTGGCCAAGCAATATAGTCATGTTAAGAAATAAAAATAGTGGATAAAATCCATCTAATTTTAGTTTGTAGTACTAAACAGTGCTCCAACAGAGAACAAACAATCTCAAAAAAGTTTGAAAAGCCTAGTGAAGAAATATTAAATCAGTGATTTGCAAGTGCATGTGTGGGGTTGCAAATTATAGACTCTACACTCTAACATAGCTTGTGAAAATATCTCTGCTATTTCATAAAGATGTGACTCATGACAATTCTAAATTAGTATTGTTGTTTACCCTTATCACTAGGACTCACTACTACACATTCAATTCCATGTGAAAATATACAGTGTCAGTAGCAGATTTCAATTGCGATTGGTACATTTATGGTATATTTGGATGAAGCATCTAACACGTACTACTTTTTATAATCCTTCATCAACCACTCTTTCATACTCCGATGTATTCTGCATTCTAAAAGGAGTTCAACAGGCAACGAAACATGGCATTTGCGCTTATCATTCAGATGGGAACATATAGAGAAAACTTTAGAACGTAGTAAATAAACTTTAGAACGTAGTAAAGAAACTTTAGAACATGTAAGTAAATTGAAATTAAAACATTAAAAACAATAAAATTACCTGAATAAGTAACACAAGAAGAAGGATAATTAGGTCGAACACCATCTAAATCCATCAATATGCAAAAACCTATTTAAAAAAACACATATTGTAGCAAAAAAGCAACTAGAAATTAAAATCCACTAAAAATAAAAAATCTGGAAAAAAACTCAAGCAAAGGAAAAAACAGAAAATCTGGAAATGAAAATTCGCAAAAAAAAAAAAATACAAAAAAAAAACAGAAAATTAATGAAAAAAAACTGAAGAAAATTCGCAAAAAAAAAAAACAGATAAAATCGAAAAAAACAGAAAATAATTGCTCGAAAGTCGGAAAAAAAAAACAAAAAAACATATAACATCGAAAAATTCTGGAAATGAAAAATCGAAATTGATGAAATTAATGAAAAAAAACTCAAGAAAATTCGCAAAAAAAAAAAAAAAAAAAGAAGATAAAATCAACATAAACTGAATGATGAAATCGCAAAAAGAAAAAAAAAAACAGATTTTTGCTGATTTTCGAATTGATGAATTGCATATCCACAAATAATTAGAAAAAATAAAATTTCTCACAAATTCGCCAAAATAAAAAAAATTCAACAAAAATTCGCAAAAAATAGATATCAATAAATAAATTAACTAAAAGGATAATCAAAATTATAAAAATTGAATAACAAATCTTAATTTCTTGAAGGAATTTGCATCCAAAAGTATGAGAGGAGAGAGAGTTGTAATGTATGAGAGGAGAGAGAAAGAGTTGTAAATTTGTAATGTATGAGAAGAGAGAGAGAGCTGTAATGTTCCAAGCCCAAAAAAAAAGGAAAGAAGAAACGTGAATAAGGAGAAAGAAAGGGAAAAGAACAGCGAAAATTACTAAAATGCCATTACTAATCATTTATTTTCAGCGGTCAGATTAAACTAATTGTACGGTCCAGATTAGTTCTTATATATAATGGGTTCTTATATAGAGGAGGGTTCTTATATGAGCCTTCCCCTCTCTCTCTCTCTCTCTCTCTCTCTCTCTATATATATATATATATATATATATATATATATATATATCCTTTTTATTGGCTTAAGTAATTTTAGATATGTAAGTATGGAGTATTGTTTTTCTTATTCTATGCTTTAGATATCCAACCTGGTCTATAATAAATTCCTAGATCCGTTCTTGACTTTAGTTATATAAATTCTGAAGTTAACTTCATCTATGTTAAGCATCGCCTATTAACCCAATACGGAGTAGAACCTTATCGATGTAACTCGTATTTAAATTGTGTTTTTTTTTTTTTCGAGTCGGGTCAAATTTCACCAATATTGTCAAAAAAATAAAATAAAAATGGCAACACATAAGTAGAATATTCTACCATAAAAATGCACACATTCACTTCCAAAAAAAAAAAAGTACAGTAAAAAAAAAAAGGTCCAATACACCATAATCACCTGGGGCCCAAAACCTGCAACAATCCACCTGTTTCTGCCGAGCAAATCCATCACATTTTCTTCAATTTAATTAATTCTCCTTTTTCACTGCAAATTTATTATCCTTTACTTGAACAAATAACAATCATAATCAATCATAACTACGATAAATTAATTTAATTCCACAAAATTTAAACCCAATTCTTAAATTCATCAAAAAAAGATTAAATTTTGGCATACAAAAAGCCAAACGTCACACCAATTTCCTGTTAAATTTGTTCCAAAAATATTCTGAGAAACCCCAGAAAAATTTCTCATCTTTTTCAATGTCAAACCAAACATACAAAGTATGTTTTTGCTGCAGAAGAAGATTCAAGCTTACAGCTTCAGAGGCCCCAAAAGAGATTAAGGCCTTATTTGAGAATTACTCTGAAAATGGTGTTATGACTCCTACTCTTCTTCATCGTTTTCTTGTTGAAGAACAAAAAGAAGAAAAAGCTACTATTGAAAATGCTCAAGCTTTAATTGATAGTGTTAGGTCTGTTGTTGTTTTTCATAAGCATGGCCTTAATCTTGAAGGGTTTTTCAAGTATCTTTTTGGGGATCTTAATCCTCCTCTTTCTCCTGAACTTGGGGTATATTTTTACTTTAATTTTGATTTTTTTGCCATTTATTTTATTTCAATTTTGCTTTTTGAGGTTGAATTATTATGTGGGTATTTGTGAAATATATGATGATGTTGATGGTTTAGTTTAATGGGTTGGATTGAATTTTGGATTTTGGTTACCCAATTGGGGTGAAATTTGCTCTTGGAATGTGTTTCCTAAATTGTACTGACTTTTTTCACTCTGTTGTGGGCCCCAGTAAGCTATTGCAATGGATGAAGCTACAGCATGTTTAGACAAGCATATGCATATTACTATTTGAAGTAATTGTATTTAGTCACATTGATGTGTTAAATGTAGTTTTGGCTTTTGTTTTGTTGATTTCACTAGCTTCTGTTTTTTTTTTTTTTTATATTATTAATCCATTGTGCGGTAAAATGGATCAATTACTGTTGATTTTGATAAAATACAAGTGTTCATGCAAAAAGTTTGGACTTTGAATGGGATAGCATTGTTGAAAAGGTGAAGTCTATTATACGCTTGGGTGTACGTTTATTTGAGATCATGTTTATTACAAGGACATCTGAAGGATATACTAGTGTTAATGTTTTTTTGGATAGTGGATTTTCCTTAGAGGATGATGGATGTTTCATTCTATTAGTTTGTTCATTGGTTGTTGTAACTTGTAATTGCTTTTAATCTGCTGCTGTTTTAGCACTTATGCAAATTGCATTCTGTGCTTGCAATGCAAATGAAGGATACCTTTTGGTTGATGTGTTAAGTTAATTCATTGCAATAAAAGTTAGATTATGGATAATAAAATAAAAGGCAGTGCTGACTATGTTGTGGATTGAGCTTCATTGTAGTTGTTCAGTTCCACCCCTTCCATAAAGTTCTGTATTAACTATTAAGTACTCTAAATTATGTTGCCAATCAAAATTGTTTTTGTTCTTGAATTGATAAATCTTCCGCTCTTTTCTTTTTAGATTTGCCTTCTGTCTAAGTTACTGATGATCATGCCTGGTTTCCTTATTTACTGCATCATATGCTTAACTCTTGCCACTTTATTTGTGGAATGACATTGATTTCTTGAGTTTTAATCTAGTTTGTGAGGACAGTTAGCATTCTCATATGAATTTGTGATTTATGGGATATAAGTAATGCCTGCGTTTCCCTATTTATAATTTTATATTTTTCTTCATTATTGTGTTTGCTAGATTGCTAATACTTGGTGATGTTTGGTGTGTTTCTTGATCAACTCCAATTCATTACAGCTGGTACCGCTATTCCAGATCTTTTTATCGCCCAATAGTCTAATTTCCTTGGATTATTTGCTATTGCTGTCTTAATTACGCTTATGGAGCTGGGTATCTTTTCATCCATGTTTGAGCTCCCAAATTATCTTCTAACCCAGAATAACTTCGTATTGCTTTTACCATGCCTGAGCTCCTGTGCGCCAGTTGTTGGGGGTGGTTGTTATATCTGTTTATTGGTTTGTGCTTGTCAGTTGAGTGCATGCTTTAATAAGTCTGGAAAAGCATATAATTTGGGTGGGGTTTTGCATCTGCATTTTATGTATTCAAACTCTTTTTAGTGCACTAGTTACACCTACACAAATCCATAGCATCACAAACATCAAGTCAATTTTTGTGGTTATGGTCAGGCATGTGGAAAGAGAATCAGTTCATGGATTCAAACTGAGCTGGTCTGGCCATGGGATTTCATTTGTTGCGAAAATAAAAATCCATTTTGAGTACTTTATTTCTAACAAGTTGAAAGAGCATCCAATGAGCATTTTTTAACACTGGGTTCAAGAGATAAGATCATATCTCATGAAATTGTCCTTTACTTCTCATTTTGTGACGCGTATATAAAAGAAAGTCACTGTTAAACTGTAGGGGGAGGGCTGGTCTCTTTTAATTGTCAACATTGTGTACACTTGATCCTCGTTCACCCCGCCCTAAGCTGGAGGATTTTTAAGGTAATTGACCATTGGTATTTTATGTTGGTAGAAGTACACCTTTTGCCACAGCTCCCCCCACCCCCCCAAAAAAAAAAAAAGAAAAAAAATCATCTGTGTTTGCTCTGTCTGTAATTGTCTCCTACTCTCTTATGTGTGTTATGCTATCTATTTTACCATCTTCTAATTGGAACGGAATTAGCTGTGTAGTTGGTTCCTGAACTAAAGTCATATCATATTATGCTGCATAAGTTTCTGCAAATATAGCTACATTATGTTTTATATTAAACTGCAAGCTAATAGCATATGTCCTTCATGCTCTCCACCAATTATCATATTTTCTTTCTTGTAGGTTCACCAAGATATGACTGCTCCACTGTCTCACTATTTCATATATACCGGTCACAATTCTTATCTTACTGGGAATCAACTGACTAGTGACTGTAGTGATGTTCCTATCATACATGCACTGGAAAAGGCTGTGAGAGTGATCGAGTTGGATATATGGCCCAATTCTTCTAAAGACAATGTTGATGTTCTTCATGGAGGGTATGTGTTTATTCTCAAATCAAGAAGTTAGAAATGATATTGCATTTCCTAGACATAGTGGCAATGACTTGTCTTATTGAGTTAATGAAGTTTAATATTTTGACATGTTTAAAGTCAATTGTCTTCTTTGTAATACTGTGCTTATCATTTACTGTCTCTGGGTATGATTCAACTCTTGTATAGGACAATGACTTCACCTGTTGAGCTCATTAGATGTTTAAGATCCATCAAGGAACATGCCTTCTCCACATCCGATTATCCTGTCGTGATAACTCTTGAAGACCACCTTACTACCGATCTTCAAGCTAAAACTGCTGAGGTGAATCTCTGGTCTTCTAATCAATTGAAGGTCAATCTGTATTTTGAAAGCTAATTAATCACATAACTGGTTATAGACCTTAATCATCTCTATTGAGAGCCATAAATTCTCTATTGAGAGCCATAAATTACTAGCTTTTCTTATGGAAACATCCATCCAACAAATAACTCAATAATGATTTTATCCTGTAGATGATCACTCAAACATTTGGAAACGCACTGTTTTCACCGGAACAGGATTCAGAATGCTTTAAGAAACTTCCTTCCCCTGCTTCACTGAAGAAACGTTTTTTGATATCGACAAAGCCGCCAATAGTGTATCATGAAGATAAAGATGCAAAGGAAGATTCGCAGAGGGGCAACAATTCTGGAGATGAGGAAGCTTGGGGAAAGGAAGTCCCTAGTCTTAAATCTCATAGTCAGAAGGTATAGAATTTGTTTAAAATTGCTTCCTCTATTTAGTGCCTCAATTTTTTTGTGGTAACAAAATGAATTCCAGAATCACGAATTGGATGATGGAGATGTTGACGATGATGACGAAGAAGTTGATGATGACATTAACAAGTCAAAGAAGTTTGAGGCACCAGAATACACACGCCTCATTGCTATTCATGCTGGAAAACCCAAGGGTGGTCTAAGCGAAGCACTAAAGGTGGATCCTAATAAGGTGAGACGTCTTAGCTTGAGTGAACAACAGCTTGAAAAGGCAGCATCTCGCTATGGAAAGGAGATTGTCAGGTAATTATGTCAATCTTAACATATTTCTCTTAGTGAGCCCTGCTAATATCTCTTTCTGCGTAACATTTTCTACATTGTCTTACAGTGCTTCAATAATGGCTGAGAGAATAGATTAATGGAGTAGTCCTTAATACTTGATATATTCTAAATTATAAGGGGTTGGGACTTGAGATTATGTGACAACTAATATTTGACTGGGTTTCAGCTCATTTTTTCCCCGTTCCCTATCCTGAAATTCATATACAAATCAGTTACTAAATCAGATGTTAGTAAGTTTTCCATTTTTCTTTCAGGTTTACACAGAATAATATGCTTAGGATCTACCCTAAGGGAACTCGAATTACCTCATCAAATTACAACCCTCTCATTGGATGGATGCATGGAGCTCAGATGGTTGCATTTAATATGCAGGTTATTAACCTCCCTTGTCAAAGCAATGAAGCTTGTACTATCTCTGTAATGCATTGTCCCTGTACAGCTTAAGATTATTTTTTTCTCCAATGACAGGGATATGGAAGATCCCTGTGGCTGATGCAAGGAATGTTCAGAGCTAACGGTGGATGTGGTTATGTAAAAAAGCCAGATTTTCTTCTGAACGGTGGTCCTAATGGCGAGGTCTTTGATCCTAAAGCTAAACTTGAAGTCAAAAAGACTTTGAAGGTTAGTGGCTTACATCAAATTATTTGTACTGTTGACGAAACGTTCTGCCAATTGTCTGACCTCACAAATTAATTTTATGTAGAAAGGTGCTCATTTAATCTTCTGAATTTGCAGGTGACTGTATTTATGGGAGAAGGATGGTATTATGATTTCAAGCATACACATTTTGATCAATTTTCCCCTCCGGATTTTTATGTTAGGGTAAGCTGCCAAATTAACACAACCTAAAACCTCGAGAATACTTTTAAACACTAGGTTTAACTTGCAAGCTATAAGTCCACTTTAGTTCTCATGGACTCTCATTCCAAGGTGCAGGACATAGATTCATATATTTACACATTAGGTTTCTATATGCCCCTCCGCATGGGAATAAGCTTTCACCCTATCCCAACTTTTATAATAAGAATATGAGTATATATGACAAGAAAACCTTGGGATCGTGGGGGTTGTGTCTGTCTTGATAATGATACTATCCACTGCATTTTTCAATCTCCTAAATCATAAGAAGGTTGTTAGCAGCCCCTAGGGTGTTGCATTGAGTTATCTTGAATTCTTGAGTTTAAAACAGCATACACAAGCTCTGAACATTGTTATATACAGAATGCTTTAGTTTTTGGTGGCAACTAGGTGCCCTCTTAAACATCTCAATAAATTTCAATTTCAGGTTGGGATTGCGGGAGTGGCAGCAGATACTGTGATGAAGAAAACAAAAACATTAGAAGATAACTGGATACCAGCCTGGAATGAAGAGTTTGTCTTCCCACTGACTGTTCCTGAACTTGCACTCCTTCGAATTGAAGTTCATGAGTATGACATGTCTGAGAAAGATGATTTTGGTGGTCAAACATGTTTGCCTGTTTGGGAGATCAGAGAAGGTATCCGGTCTGTCCCACTTTGTAGCCGTGAGGGAATCAAGTACTCATCTGTCAAGCTTCTCATGCGCTTTCAGTTTATTTGAGTTGTTCATCTCCTTTTTTTCATTCTCACCTATGTGTTGTATTACTTTTCCGTTGTGTGCGAAAATGCAACAAGTCATTAGATCTTTTGTTATGGTTATGGTTTTGCCATTGTATATATGGTTCATTTGGATGTTGACAAAGTTGTGCTTATTACCTTCACTTGTTCAATTTTATTTTCTTTTGTTAATGTTATTTGTTCAATAAGGGTTATGTTCAATTCACAACTTAAATAACTAAAATAAGTCTAGTTAGGGTAATGTTTTGTTTTAAGTGAAGAACAAGATAAGTGAATGCTCCCTAATTGAACAAGATAAGTGAATGCATTAGGCCCTGTTCTTTTGAGCTTCTGGGCAGATTTCAGCAAAGCAGAAATTAACAAAGCAGAGAAGAGCATAGCAGGTGTCAACACAGCAGAGCAGATTTAACTATTTAAGCAGAGTAGGTATCAGTAGAGCAGCACTAAATTATGTTTTTATATCTTCTCTGATCAGCACTTTGACTTAAAATTCACAACTTAAAATGATTAGAAGGCAAACATGTTTGACAACCAAAATCATCTTCTGAGCTGATTTTATATTTTCTGAGTATGATTTTATACCAAAAATTCTGAGTATGACAACTAAATTATGTTTTTATATGTTCTCTGATCAACATTTTGACTTAAAATTCACAACTTAAAATTCACAAACATGAGCAGCACTTTGACTTAAAACAAAAATCTTAAGGCTCAATTTATAATCAATTATCATTACTTGTTATATCTAAAGCAACAAAAAGAAGATTTTCCCTTTATAATCACATGCAAGTAATTGATTTGGATGACAATGGGAAAAAATGAGAGAGTGAGTAATAATCCAAAAGGTTATTGCTTTCCTCCCGATTTAAGGGATTTTGGGATCGATTTTCGATATCTCATCCTCGCCGTTGTGGCTTTCTGGACAAAGGAAAAAAGAAAAGAAAAAAAAATTGAAATCAAACATGCTAGTTTGGGATGATTATTAATTTGCTCTTTATTTTCTTTTCTTCTGCTAATCTTTGGTTTTAAGTCCCAAAATGTCCTCCACCAAAAACCCGCCACAATCCCACTCCTCCGACTATGATTCCGACACCGTCCCCAATTCCTCCGCCCATCAACTCCGGCATGTTGATCTCTCCAACACCATATTCAAAGCTTACCTCGAGATCAATGGCCAAGATTCATCTTCTTCCCCACAATCATTAGACCTTACAAAGATCCAATCTTTCCTTAATTCCTCTTCTTCAGGAGCTCTTTCTTGCCTCATCTGCCTTGAGCGCATCAAATCAACTGACCCCACTTGGTCTTGTAATGGGTTTTGCTTCGCTGTGTTTCATCTTCAATGTATTCAGAATTGGGCTCAACAATCTACTGCTCTTGCTGCTTCACGCGCCTCCCCATATCGGCTCAGACCGCGGCTGATACTTCGGTATGGAACTGTCCTAAATGTAGATTTGAGTATTCTAAATCTTTAATTCCTAAGAATTATTATTGTTTTTGTGGTAAATTGGAAAACCCACCTCATGATCCTTGGATTTTGCCCCATTCTTGTGGGGAGATATGTGGGAGGCCATTGAAGAATAATTGTGGGCATTTTTGTCTATTGTTGTGTCACCCTGGACCTTGTCCTTCTTGCCCTAAATTAGTGAAAAGTAGGTGTTTTTGTGGGGGGATTCAGGATGTTAGGAGATGTGGGTTTAAGGAATTTTCATGTAATAAGCAATGTAATAAGGTTTTGGATTGTGGGATTCATAGGTGTGCTGAGATTTGCCATAATGATGAGTGTCCACCATGTAGGGAGAAGGGTGTGTATAGGTGCCAATGTGGGAAGGTGAAGGAGGAGAGGGAGTGTTGTGATAGGGATTTTCGATGTGATAATCCGTGCGGGCAGGGTTTGGATTGTGGGAAGCATGTTTGTGAGCGAGGGTGCCATGGGGGAGTGTGCAGTCATTGCCCTCTTAAGGGTAGGAGGACTTGTCCCTGTGGGAGGAGAGTTTATGAAGGGATACCTTGTGATGTTGAGGTGGCATTGTGTGGGGCAACCTGTGATAAGAAGCTGAGTTGTGGCAAGCATACGTGCCATGAAAGGTGTCATCGTGGATCTTGCGTTGAGATATGTAGAATAATGATCACAAAGTCATGTCGATGTGGAAGCGTAAAGAAACAGGTATATAAATTTCTTCCTTTTGGTTGAATGTGGATTTAGATACTATATGCCTATATTGCGATGGCATAGAGACATGGACCAATGTTTACTGACAATAATATAGGTTCCTTGCTATCAAGATTTGGCATGTGAAAGGAAGTGTTCGAGAGAACGTAATTGTGGGCGCCACGCATGTAGGCGTCGTTGCTGTGATGGAGATTGTCCACCTTGTGCAGAGGTGCATCTTATTGCTCTATAATTGTTGCTCATGTTTTGTGGTTTCCATAACATCTTGTTCCGAATGTTTTCAGATTTGTGGCAGGAGGCTCCGTTGTAGAAACCACAAATGCCCTTCTCCATGTCATAGGTATACTACATTTGTATCTGCATAATTGTCATGCAAAACAAATAATGCTAGTGGTCTAACTAAAAGTTTTTTACTTTTCCATTTTTTAAAGAATGAACAAAAAGAATCTGCGTACATGTTAGTGATGTTGTACTCTGATTTTAATTTGGTGCTAGTTATCTAGTGTCAACTACTCACAACTATATATAGTTCTGTACCATGATGTATATAGACTTGAAAAATCATTATTTTCTTTCATTGAGAAACCTAAAGTATTGCTTTTATGGTTATATTGTTTTAGGGGACCCTGTGCACCTTGTCCACTTATGGTAACCATTTCATGTGCTTGTGGGGAGACACGTTTTGAGGTGAGAATTCAACGTTTTGACACATTTGACTTTTTTCACTATTCATTTGACCATCATTTTTTAGCAACATGTAAAACACAAATTTTATAATGAAATATATTGTGAAATAGGTATTATTATTTTTATTATAAAGTTTCATAATATCAATTATTTTATATTTTTTTACTAACATTTAATCCTATACATCTAAGGTCAAACTAGTACATTGACATGTGTGCCAAATTTGACCATGTCAATTGTTTAGGAACAGGGGGAGTTGTAAAAAGGGACACACAATAGAAATAATCCACGGAGAGTACAAGAATCCGGGTGAGTAGTATAACCAAACCCTCACTATAGGGAAAGGAGATTATGTTTATGTAGAAGCTCCGATCATGATTTCTTAGAGAGCCTACATTCTTTAAATGTAGGTAAAAACCTCTATGTATAAGGATCGGAGCATTGGAGGATGGTGTAGTTGGATACATTCTCCAAATGATGAATATTTATAGATGAGATATGGAGGTGGAAGAAGTGTTTGGAAACTTCTACATACATATATGCTCTTGAAATATCCACTTAAATCTAGAAGCATCTTGAGAATTATCTAATTCTTCTAGGTTCTTCCACAATTTTCCTATCATTTTCTCATAGTACTAAAATTTTCTAGAAATCTTTGGAGACCTTGAGACATAATTAATTGGGCTTATGGAATTTTGGCCACACTAACCCAACAACATCAAAGTTAGCTTATTGTTTCTGAAGTAACCCCTATCTAGGGCATGGAAATTGTAAGTAGAATTTATACAATCTTGCCCCTACAGTAACGGATACCCACCAAATTTGGTCAAACTTTATCCTCAATGGTTGTTGAACTTAAGAGTGAAAAGGTGTCTTTTCAGGGCAAAGAGATATCATCATCCAATTGAGTTTCTTGTTTTTTCGTCTTTTAGAAGGTTGCTTTTTTATCAGACACCTATTAGCTACATACTTACATGATATAAGATTCTGTTGATTGGAATCTCTTTAAAGATATCTCCTAGTTAGTTACTATCATGAAGGTTGCTTTTTTATCAGACACCTACTAGCTACATACTTACATGATATAAGATTCTGTTGATTGGAATCTCCTTAAAGATATCTCCTAGTTAGTTACTATCATTCTATGAAGATGCTAATGAATTATGTTTAGAGCAAGAATCAAAACAACCTAACTATCTACTTTTGGTTGGGGAAGAGTGTAATGAGGAACTTCTTTGACAAAAGAAATCCTTCTGAAACCAATTCTATTTCATTTCAAAATCTTGATAACAGCAAGGATCAAAATAACCCACAGTAAATTGGTATAAATGTTGCCTAGCTTACAGCCTTACAGTATATATGTTATTTAAAATCACCTCACTTGAATTGTTTTTACAAGCTATCTGCGTAATTGCAACCAGGTTCCTTGTGGAACAGAAACGGAACAGAAGCCGCCTCGTTGCCGCAAAACATGTCGGATAGCTCCGTTATGTAGGCACAAATCAATTTGTAAGGTATGTTTTGATTTGCCTCTCAACAACATTTTGGTGTGTCTTTCTGGATTGAATTCTGAATAGTCTGAAGTCTGCACTAGGTTGGATGTGAAAATATCTTATCAGATTGTTTTTCTTGCTTGGCTTTATCGTCTTCCTTAGTTACTTATGTCTCTTTTTCCTTAATAACATTTGTTTGATAGACACATGCCCATAAATATCCGGCTTGAATTTGTCGGTCTTTTATAACATGCCACACCACAGCACACCAACACTGTTTTGGCTTAAAAAATCATTCTTCTCAGTGCATATCTAGATTTTTAAATTTCGTTGTTAATTGTAACAACATGATCACTGATAAAATCTTTCACTGTTTTTTGTGCACTAGCCTCACAAATGTCATTATGGAAACTGCCCACCTTGTGGACTTCCCTGTGGTGAAGAATATCCTTGTGGCCATGCCTGCAAACTAAGGTAATTTTTTTGCGTTTTTTAAAAGATTGGGTGAAGTGACAAGGTCTTCATTATTTTCTTTTTGTATAATCTTTCCTTTCTTTTTTCTGGTTTTAGGTGTCATGGTCCTCGACCTCCACCTAACCCAGAGTTCACACTGAAACCGAAGAAAAAGAAACACAATCTTCAGAGTGAACCAACAGTGGGAACTCCATGTCCACCATGTCCAGAACTTGTTTGGAGGTCTTGTCTTGGCCAACACTTTGCAGCAGAAAGAATGGTTGGTATTATATAGAAATTGAGTTTTCTGTTGGTTGTTTTTTGATTTCGACTGTCTTGTTTTCCTTATTGGTATAAAAAGGTTAAATTGAGGCACGTACTAATAATCTAATGTAGTTTCCAGCTAGCAGAATTACTTTTGATTAGTATTATGCAGTTGCAATATATATAAACTTGCTTGGTTATGCCTTCTTTGTTTGTTTCTACACAGATGGTTTGTTCAAATAAAGCGCAATTTTCCTGTGACAACCTGTGTGGAAATTCTCTTGCTTGTGGCAATCATTATTGCACAAAGACTTGCCATGCCCTTCAGAACGTGTCATCCTCATCAGATCAGCGTACAAGAGGAGTGCCCTGTGAAGATTGTACTCTCCCTTGCCAAAAGGTAGATTTTACCTTTTTTGTCTAATTATTTGTTTAGCACTTCAACTTATTACAATCTACTTTGTATAGATCCTGTAATCAGTAGGCTTGGGAAGGTCTAGATGCATTAGTCTTGCCCCTAGCTAATCTTGACCAGTGGAGTAATTGCTTTGGAAGTTCCACTTTAAATTTTTGTTATATTCTTTAGTTAATTTTTTTTTTTTTTTTTTTTTTTTTTTTTTTTTTTTTTTTTTTTTTGGACTGATGAAGGAGAGATCTTATCAATAATATAAAAAATGTAACGTGCAGTTTCCAATGGACTTCTTGCTTGTCTGCTTAATCTTTCCCAGCAGCTGGAGTTAATCACTTAATTGAGTTTGTTGAGTATGTTTTTCTGCAGAGGAGAAACATCATATAAGTGCTATTTTTCTTAATTTCAGGAAAGGACACTGCATGTTCACACCCTTTCCCACAGCCATGCCATCCTGAAGAATGCCCCCTGTGCAAAGTGCTCTTAAAACGTGCATGTCATTGTGGTGCAATGGTCCATGTTTTTGAGTGTATATACTATAACACCTTATCTGAAAAGGAACAACTGAGTGCTCGTTCTTGTGGTGGACCTTGCCACAGGTAATTTTTTTTTAAAAGTAGTGTATCCTCTCATTGGAAAATTTAAAAATAGAATCGCAATTCCAACAGGCGTCTGCACCTGTGCAAATATGATTTTATGTATTTGTTTAGGTTTAATTTGTAATTGGAACAAAGACGTTTTGTGTGCACGGAAGGGTTTTGCTTCTTGGATGGACATAACTAGAACCTTGGAGAGGCAGTCATTATTTTAGCATGATCACATAGACACAACTCACACAAGTATGATCAGCTTACAAACTAGATTAAAGATTATTATCATGTGAACTGATTATAAGGACAAACTTATCACTTCCGATATTGGGAAAGCTGTGAGTATTAATTGTTTGATCTAGTTAGCCTTAAGTCAAAAACACATTAGCCACTATTATGCATGTTTGGAATTTGGTTAATGTAGATCGTAGAATAACATATCATAGTATTGATAGTATATAACAAAAATCCTATATTTTTTTGTCATTGAATCATTGATGTTGTATTGGTATTGTAGACTGTATTCTCTTTTGAAACAATATTGACTAAAAATCTTGCAAATTCCAATATGTGATTTTTATGTTGTATATGCAGAAAGTTACCTTATTGTACACATCTTTGCCCGGAGACTTGTCATCCTGGTCCTTGTCCTTCACCCGAGAAATGCTGTAAAAAGGTAATTACTTCTGAGTTGTACTTTTTGTGGAGAGTACAATGTAAATTTGTTGTAGCTTAACATTTGCATTCTATGCTCCACCACAAACTAGCCTAGCAATACATCTGCTTGGTTTGCGGCTGTATTATTTTGCTGTCAACATTGCATGTGACTCATTTGATATGGCTGAGTAACCCATGTATTACTTCTGTTTCCTTCCCAATTTTTGGTCCAATTTACAATGCTTATCGCAACACAAACACCGTAGTCCTTTGTCGAGTGATGTCAGGAATTTCTTCAAAGCAGTGAACTTTACTAAAAGTAGTTCCACTTGAAACCTTGCTCTTCTTGTGACAGGGCGACTGGGTCAGTTAAATGCTCATTTTTTGGGAATTGGAAATTTGAAATAACTACTTTGCTGGTTGTTTATTTGTTCAAAGCTTAGTATATCAAAATGACTTCCAGTAGGCTCAAATAGAAAGTTAATTTTCCTAGTATAACTACTAATGTTACATGTAAATCAACTTCATCTACATCTGTAATTTTAAGTGCTATTCATCTTTTAACCTATTCATCTAAGGTGGGTTTTTTTTCTTCTTGCAAGGTTACTGTTCGTTGTGGATGCCACAACTTGAAAAAGGAGTGGTTGTGTTGTGATGTTCAAACCAGCTATAGAAATTCTGGTCATGATCTTAAAGATATACCTAAAACTCAATATGGATATGGACTTCTTTCCTGTGATTCCAGCTGTAAAAGCAAAGCCCAAGCTGCTGAGTCTGAATTACTGCAGCGAAAATCTAAGGCACCAGAGGTAATTTTTTCCTGCTTGGCTTAAGCTGCTGTGATCCGTTTAACATTAATGCATCCTATTCTGTAGCAATTCATAGAATAACGCTAACTAAGTGACAGTTTGATGGTAGTAAGAAATCGAAGGAAAGTCTAAATAAATAAGAGACAATTCGAAAAATAGCCTAATTCTTCTTGATACATGCTAACTTAACAAGTTGAGCTTTTTTTTTTTTTTTTTTTTTTTTTTTTTTTTTTTTTTTTTGAGGAATGCTAAGTTGAGCATCTTTACTTTTATAAAAGCTGATTTTTAGTACTTTGCTTTCTTCATATAGTAACTTTGACTGGATGTAGACCTGGCAAAACTGCTTGGTAGCCAATTTCCCTTGGGGGAGCCCCCATTTATCATCAAGATAAACATATCTTAATCATCTAATGGTCATTTTGTAAATAACTTGAACAGTACCCACCTTACACATCATGCTGATGTTGCTCAAGTTAACGTCCTCTGTCAAAAGCTTCGACCTCCATTAAAGCTATCTCCTTCTTCCTCCTTCCACCGACACCATAAGTACCACCATTTTTAACATCTTTGACACCAACTTTCACCGACAAATTCGACACCACCTTCCGTCAACGATGAGGGCGACTTCGCCGCCAAATAAAAATGAAAACCCTATGAAAATGAGTGAAATTAAGGGTATGGTCAACCCCAAAGGGTAGGGGTAACCATGTCCTTCATTGAAACTTGCATTGAGCTTGATTTGTTCATTGAATTTCTCCATTGATATTCTTCATTGTTGCCTCTCCGTCAATTCACGCCTTAAGCTTGAAGATGTACTGTTAAAAAATTTTTGCAGTTGAAATGACATAATAGTCCCTACTCAAAGGCATAAATGACATTTATACCCATAGAGCAACAGATTTTGTTTAAGATAAACTTATATTTTCTCATTTCTTTCCCTGGCTAAACCTTTACTCGAAATAATATGACCCCAATTATCCCAAACCCAAAAATTAATGTGATGGATATTATTATGTAATTTATCATGATAATCTTGTTGACAGTAGGCTCAAATATGACGAGACCCTAACCTTGAAACTGAACCAAATGACCGTAACCACCTCTAAAAAATATGGCCTGAAACTGAACCGAAAGACTCCTTTGCCACCTCTGATTGGATATGAATTCAGTACTCTGTAATTTTACTTGCTTCTTGTCAAACAGAAAAAGGTGATCGAGAATGAAGCAAATGTACCAAAGCGAAGAAAGAGGCGTGGGCGAGTACAAGAAATGAAGCAAGATTCGAAATTTCAGGTCCTTTCTATGTCCTCTCTAGTGATTGATATCCCAATGCAACAACTTTCTATCCTTTTGTCCATAGTTAATTCCTAAACTTGTCTAATTGTAATTACATGCTTATGAACAGAAATTCAGAACCTGGCTGCAAAGATTTGTTATGTTCATCATTGTTTTGGTAGCTCTAGTTGCTGTAGCATGCTATGGATACAAGGGTCTCTTGTCACTCAATGACTGGATGAACAAAGTTGAAGAACACCGTGAGAAGAGAAGATACCGAAGGATCTAATAATCACCGGCAAAATACTGCTAATTGTGGCTGGTAAAGACATTACAGACATGATTATACTACACCATTCTTTATTTTTTCCTACACTATTGTATTTCGTATGGTATTAGAGCAGCTATATACTTACAGAGTTGAAAATCAGGCATTTCAAATTTTCAGGTATGTATTGTATAAAATGTCTTCGAAAGTATTTTGTACCTTATTACATCTTTCTTATGGTCATATGTAGGATGCTAAAAAAATGTAACATGTAATCTGTTGTACTTTCTCTTTCACAAAATTTAATTTACTATTGCATACAACAATATAAGCAAATCATCAATGAATTTAATGACCCGTATGTTTAGCAAAGTCCCTTACTTTTATTATTACCTACCAAATGGTTTATTTGAATATTTTTGTTGTAAATTTTGGAAGGCTTTCTTTTTCAATATCTTCAACGTTTTTTTAAATCTTCTTTTACTATGCTTTATTAGTTTATCTTGTACATGTATCACGTATGAGAGGTAGGTAGGGAACCTTTGAAGTATGAGAGGAGGTCCGGTCAAAAAAGGAATGAATAAAGGATTCAACAATTGATTGGAAATAAAACCATAGCAGCCCTACAATATAACATCTGATTAAGAATTTGGTAGTCAAAGATGTTTGTTTTTTTTATAACTTGTAGAGCTAGAACTAGAACAGCCGTCTTGAACTTTCCACTTGTGTTAATTGTCCGTTTTGTTTTCCTAGCTCATCTTACGTGTATTGGGTGCACAATAACATTTGTATTCTTGTGCACCAATCATGTGTGCGTGTGATTTTAAATCAAGAACGAATCAATTACGGTCATTTTGTTAAAACAGAACCGGCCTATATCATCGTATCAAAATTAAATGCATGTTCATTTTGTTTGTGAAGATGTAAATTCCATCCCTCAACCAGAAGAAGAAGGAATAAAGAGGGCAAATATAATTTAAACGCGTCTTAGCCTTTTATATTTTGATGCAAATCTTAGCATATACGAACTATGAATATGCAACTATAAAGATTTGCAACTTGGTGTAAAGTAATGGAATGTAATACAGAATATAAGCATATCAATAAAAATGAGATGTTGATTGTTGAATTAATTTGTATACAGGCAATACCGCTATCTTCATTCACAAAGCACTAAACATGTGGTACCCAAAAAGGGTGATAATAAGAGAGGAAGCAACATTATGCATATTCAACATAAGCATGGTACTGACGTATTGAGAAACATTATAAACTATATTATCCAAAATATATGTTATGATAATATAAGTTCATTTTTTGGGGGGAATGAGATCATGAGAATAAGTCTAAATGATCATTTCTTTTACCAAAATGAATTTCTAATAATAAAAAAAAAAAATCCTGTGTTCCGTGGGATGCTAATACAACAAGGATGGAATGGTTCTAGTTTAATTTAGTTGTTGCTAAAATACTACGATGGAGAAGTATATAGAATGTTTGGTAACTTTACCTACCAACTAATGAGGAGAGCCCCAATATATAAGTAAGATTAGCCATGTGATAGAGATGGCAATTTATGGCGTTTGTTTTTAATCACTAAATTTATTTTATACTTCGCTAGATAGTTAGCGTTATGTGCAATATTGCTACCTTTTCCTATCTAATGATCGCTCTCTATATCAATGTTGAAAAGACACGTGTTTATTCCTAACTTGTGTTCTAGACTTCTAGAAAAGCAAGAATGGCTAGAACTCTATAGCTATTAAGGTTCAAACTTCACCAAAGATATAGACAACGTACACAAAAAAGTACACAAAGCAACTCATCAACAGAGGTAGATTTAGATCACCGGCCAAATCCACAACTTCACCAAATACATTCATTTTTTTTTTAATAAAACATATGCATTGGATGTTATTATTATTATTATTATGAGATATAGCTAATATCAGAATTAGAAATAAAAGCAGAGGCACCGACTAATTTAATAAAATTGCTAAAATTATATACTCGTATATAATAAGGTGGTGGGTACTGTTAGGTTGTATTGTATGGGCATGTTAATGTTATGTATGCATGAAAATTCATGAACAAAACTCCATTATTAATTGAGCCCTACTTATAGTTTAATTTAAGCTACTGTGGGACAACAGCAGTTGTATATAATCTTGTTCAGACTCAACAATCGTAGGCCCACCAATTTGACCAAATTCAATGCCAAAAATATTGGTTTCATAATATGGTAATTACTTGAATTGAATCTTATCTTATCTACTGAATTTGTGGCTCTTGTTTTCATATCTTAAAATGTCATAATCTATTATGGTTATAATGTTCTATACTATACATGTGTTCGTTTATGTGGGGACGTTTATTATCACTTTTTATGCGTTTTGATAGCAAAGTGTTAGTTTATAGACTTCTCATAATGGTATTTCGTGGAGGGGTGGAGACGTGGATTCACCTTAATTGAATCAAGTAGGTTGTTCGGAATAAATTTTTTTTTTCCTAATATTGAAAACTAATTATGCTTCAATAATTCAAAATAAGGGAAATAAGAACGCTTATAGTATTACCGTAGCAAGATTTAGCTCCAACTTGAAATATAAACCTTTATAACACAGCAAAAAAAAATTCCGCTTAATGGTTGGATTACTCAATGAAGAAAGGTATTATAGTATAAATGCATAATCTATTAATTAATAATAGTACTAGTATTAATGATGGCAATATATACTAAGATTCTAGAATTGAGATAGATGACTTGGCAATAGTCCCAAAAACAATTTTTATATTCCAAAAGGGAGTCAATTGTGGCAAGTTTTTTCCCAAATGACATTGCAGTATTACATTAATTAAACATACAGCTAGACTTATTATTTCATTTTGGTCTAGTAAAATTGCTAAAAGTAAGCCGGACTAAGGCTTTATTTAGTTCAACTTATTTTTACTTATTTTAGAAAAAATAAGTTTAGATCAGATCAGATCACAAAAAATAAGTTCAGATTAGATTATCGTTTTATGTGTGGGTTTTTTTTATCACTAAATAACTTTAATTACGTAATGAAATGAAAAAAAATTATAAAAATTATACATTAATAAAATACACATTAATATGAATATAACAAGACCCCACTTGATATATTTCTTCTTTATAGGTTATCGTACACATAAGGTTAAAGTTTGGTCAAATCAGACAATCAAATCAGATAAGCAAAAATAAGGTGAACTAAACAAGCCCTAAGCCAGTGAATCAAGATGGGTTGATTTGTATCGAGTTGATGGGTTGGGACTTGAATTGAATTCCCCCGTGGTGGACTAGTACAAGTCGGGTTGCGAGCAAGTTTGACCTAACTACTAGTCAAAGACGTATATTGGAGACCAAATAAAGTAAGTCGAACTTTTAGGAATAGAGTGATTATTATTTATAAATTTTTCTACCTTAGCTCACAGCTCTACATAATTCTTACAAGGACGATGTTTTTTTTCTTCCAAGATTCACCTTTCATCCAAGTAGTACATTATTCTTTGAATTTACTTCTTAATGACAAAACAATATTTTGATTGTTGTCATTTTCCTAATAGGATCACTAAGCTACTCATGACAAAATTATTATAATAATGTTGCATGAACATGCATGTCAATATTATATCATCAAAATTTAATTTAAGAAAACGCCATTCCTTCGCCGGTTAAGTATATTATGAATTGAAAAATCAAAGACTCGGACTATGACCGACGTCTCTTTGGACCGTTTCTTATTTTAAAATGAAATAATATGGTAATTGCCAAAGTCTCCTGGTATAACATCCTTTTCTAGAGTTCCACAAGATTTTCTAATCTTAACTTCCTTCTTATGATTTTGATTGCATGATCTAAGTTCATGCATCGTGCCACAAGGAAAAGGTCGCCGATAAGTATGTAGATTGGTTAGCTAACTTTAGGGTTCGCTTTAAAAAGTCGTGAAGTTTTTTTCCATTTAGGAAGAGCTTTGTGACTTCGTAACTAAGGTGACGTGGCATGGCCTCGTCTAGTGCCAGCTCATTCTCGCCTAAAGGGAAAAAGGTGAAGGAAAAAGAAAATTCAAATTTACACTTCATTTCAAGAAAATTACAATAATTTTCCAGGGATGAAACAAATCATGTTTTCCTACTCTACACCTACTGTGTCTAATAATGAAGTATATACATTCAATAAACATGTATAATCATGAAAAATGATGAATACAAAATGAAGGAAAAGCTGGAAAAGAATGTAAAAAAAAAACCATCAATCTTGCTCGAATTTTTTTTCAATCTGATCCAATTGATAATATTCCGCCACTAGAGATACTACCATGACTATCATCACAAAGGTTTAGAGCGCGCTCCAAATTGGATACAACATCGGTCATTGTAGGTCTATCTTTTCCCTCCAAATTCACACAATGTAATGCAGTAAAAGCAAAAAGCTCAACCGCGTCTGATTCATTGGATTCAGGCGGTCCTACTCTCGGGTCCAAAACTTTCACTAATTCACCGGCCAAAATTTCTGGTACAGCGAAATCCACCACGCTAGTCGGATCTCCATCACTACTGCCATCCTTGAATATTGCTTTCTTTCCAGTTAGAAGCTCAAGCAATACAACACCAAGACCGTAAACATCACTCTTGGCAGTTAACACATTCAACCCATAATACTCGGGATCAATATACCCAACAGTCCCGGCTGCTTTAGTTGGCCTGAAATCCTGATCAGTTTCAGGACCCAACAAAGACAATCCAAAATCAGATACTCTAGCAATCCAATCAGAATCTAATAGGATGTTTGAAGACTTAATGTCACGATGAATTATAGGCGGGACTGCATAAGTGTGAAGGTATTCTATACCACGAGCAGCATCTAAAGCGATCCTAATCCTGATCTTCCAGGCATTAATAACACTATTTCCTTTCTCAACATTCTTCTTATCATGCAAATGATCATAAAGTGCTCCATTCTTCATGAACTCGTAAACTAATAGCCTTTCATCGCGCTCTTCACAATATCCAACAAGTCTAACCAAATGCTTATGGTGTACCCTAGACAAGAATGCTAATTCAGATTCAAATGCACTCTCCTTCTCATGGTACTTCTTTGTTCGCGGTCCTGTTTCTCCTCTCTTGATTGCCACTTCCCTACCATCCACTAATTTACCCCTATAAACCACACCAAAACTACCAGCACCAATCTTATTCTCCAAAGAGAAATAACCAGTAGCATCAGCTAGCTCTTGGAAGGTAAACTCCTCTGCCCTATCAGCGTGTTTAGTAGAAGATGTTCCACTCCTTTGCCGCCTAAATGCTAAAGACCCTTGACGCCTAATAGTCAAGGACCTTGAAGGAGGACTATTGCTAGAGGTACGAGCATTACTCGAACCCCCACGAGTAATCGTTGGTTGTACCGAATTATGAATCTTCTTCCTCCCAAAACAAACACCAGTATACAAGCAATAAACAATAGTACATAACCCAGCGAACCCACCTACTGCCCCGACAATGGCAAACACCAAAAGACCTTTTCTCAACCCCTTCGACGTCGATGGTGACGACGAAGGTGGCAATATCCTAGGTGGCGGTGCCGGAACCGGCGCCACTGATGATGGAACACTACAAGAATTGCATATATTACCAGAACCAAAACAAAGAGACTCAGATTCAGGATAAACACCACATTGATCACAATCAGATTGAACACAAGGTCCAGGTAAAATCTTTGGCAAAGGAAGTTCAATTCCCAAAGAAGCATTATTACCATTCCATCCAGGACCCCAACACATAATTGAAGAATTCCTAGTAATTAAACCACAAACAAAATTCAACCCACCTACCAAAAACTCAAAATCAACCCCTTTAATCAAATTACTTGAATATGAACCATTTTTACCCCAACAAACAACTGTACCATTCAATTTCCTAATTGCACAACTATAATCTGATCCAAGTGCCAAATTTGACAACCCAGAAGATTCATTCAAATCAAATGGATAATCTAATTGCCCATCTAAATTCCTACCAACACAAACCAAATACCCAGATATATTAAACCCACACACATGTTGCCCACCAGCTGTTAAACTAACCATAGCAAAACCCCCAAATTGATTTTCAATTTCAGAAGCTAGGGTTTCATTACTACCCCAACATCTAACCCTACTATTATTCATCAAAATCCCACAAGAAAACCCAAACCCAGATGAAATCGACCCAAACCCACCAACCCCAGATGGGTTTTGACCCGAACCCATCATTCCTCTCCAACATTTTACCTCATTTGTTCCATTAATTACCCCACAAACCTGAGAATCCCCAACTGAAATCTCTTTCAATGGCGAAGAACTACTGTAATAAATTCTTTTTGGGGTAAATGTGGATGAATTTACAGTGATTGTAGTTGTATCCCAACATAGTAAACTTGTTCCTCCAGATCTAAGTCCACAGAAAAAGCTCCCACCACCTGCAATGGCGGCGTAAGAAATATTGGGTTGAATTGAAATTAATTGACCGTTACTGAAACACTCTATTCGGCGGTTCATTTCTCCGGCGACGATGCCGCAAACGGTGGAAGATGCGGAGGAGATAGCGAGAGTTGAGCCGGAGCCGAGGCCATGGAGAAGGGGGGGTAGAGAGAGAAAGAAGAGAGAGAAAAAAATGGCGAAAATTTGTGGGTTTTTGATCGTCATAAAGTGGAATTAATTGAGGGAGAATTTAAGATTTGGGGTTGGGAAATTTGTGGTTTCTTCATTGGAGGAAGAAGAAGAAACGTTTGAAGTGAAAATTAAGCAGAAAACAGAGAAATATGAACAGAAAAACAGGGAACTTTGAAACAAGAAAGATGAAATTTTTATTGGGGTATTTTTTTTTTTTTTTGGGATTTTAGGAGGGAATTTAATGCAAGTACAAGTATTTTATGCCGTTAAAAGAGAATACAAATTCTTAAATGGATTTAGTTCACACTAATTTATTGTGGACCACTAAAATTAGAGAAAGTATGGTTATTTTATTAATAAAAAAAAAGGTCACTATAATTAAAAAAGAGGTCACTATGTTGAAATAAAAATCATTTTGGTAATATATAGGCCTAAGTGGTTATTTTTGTAATGAAATATTTTATATACCGATCAATATGAATCATAAAGGTCACTATGTTAAAATTAAGATAATAGCGTCGTATTTCAAGTTCACAATATTATTAAACGTTGTAGTGGTTTTATTAAAGGTTGTGTTAAAAATAAGGTTACTATGTTAAAAATAATGGTCACTATGTTCAATATAATGTCAGTTGCGTGTATATAGACCTCGGGTCCACAATAATATTATTGTGGACCAGGTTCACGCAAGTCTTTTTGAAAAGAGAATTAGGAAGTGAGGAAATAAATGTGGGTTGACTAATGATGACTGTTTTTTCATTTGGATTTTGGTTTACTATGTAAGGAGTAATCCCTCCGTTTCGTAATAATTGCAACACTTTTTTTTTACATTTATTTTATAATAGTTGTAATACTTTTTAATTTGGTAAAGACCCACTACTATTTTATTATTTCTCTCTTTCACTAACCCCACTTGTATAAATATTTTATTATTTTACTTTCTTATGTAGGGGTGTTCAAAAATTGGTTCGGACCCAAAAAATGGAACCGAATCGAAAAAATGGACCGAATCGGTCCGAACCGACCCCGGTCAGACTAGACCAAATTAATCGGTCTGGTACGATCCAATCCAAAACCCTATAAAATTCTGATTTTGGATCGAACCGATTTTTTGCTTAAAATTATACGAGTACATAAAATCTTTAATAATAATTAAGATTTTCCTTAACAAGTTTGGAAACTTTACTCGTATGAGTTTTTTTATGCCAAATATACAAAAAAAAGACGTTAAAATATTGTTTTTTTCTTTACTTTTTTCGAGTTTTCCATAAATTTTTTCGAGTTTTACATAAATTATTTAAAATTTAGGAAATTTTTTTATAAAAATTCTAAAATTAGTTTGTACCGGTCCAGTCCGATTTTGGACCGATTTTTTCGGTTCGGTCCTAACTTTATTGGTCCAGTTTTCGGTTCTTGAAATTCAATTTTTTGGTCCGGTCTTGGACCGATGAACAGCCCTACTCTTACATACCCTATTTACACTACTTTTTTTTTTTTTTTTTTTTTTTTTATTATATCTCTCATTTAATAACAATTAAATATATCTCTACTAACCATACCTTATATTATAAAATTCACCTTATCATCCCTACCCTAAAAAAATCCTATAACTTTGTGCTACACCTATTGTTGCGATTAATATGAATCAGATGGAGTATATAAATAGGATATTGTTAACGAACGCCTCCAAAGCATTAGATAAGCATTTAAAATACCTCCTAAAATTATACTCCGTATTAATTTAGGAATGTATGCCAAAATTACGCGTTGATCAGTGTAATAAATGTTCATTTTAATTTAATAATTCTACTTTTAGTTATCCTATCCTACGTCCTCAAGGCGTTCTTTAGCTTTTACTCCCTTCGTCTCTTAATGATAGTCCCTTCTAGTGAAATTTCACGGGATTTAAGAAACATAAATAAGAAGTACTACCTCCGTTACACATTATGTGCAACTTTGAGGCTTAGTACGGATTCCTAGACAAAAAATGGAAATTTTTGTTTAAGGAAGTTAAATGAATGTAATTAATAAAGTGAAAAATTAATTAAGTACCACTGCCACCACCAACACCCAATCCCCCTACCCACCACCGTCCAGCTACCGCAACCCGTACCACTATAACCCACTTAACCCCCTGAATCTCACCACTGACCCACATGAAATCCCACCACCGTTGTACCCAACCTTAACCACCCTCTACCCGACCTGAACCACCGCTACTCTACCCGATTGACCCAACCACCGGTACTCTACCCGATTGACCCACCAACACCCAAAATCCACCCACCTACTCAAAACCTACCTCACCAACCACGCACATACACTCACTCAAAACCCACACTTGCTCACCCGGAAAACATGCGAAACCCAACAAACCAACCCTATTGCGCCCCCAAATGGCAAAAACATCCAATTTGGCTTCAAACCCACCAGAACTAAACAATTTCACTAAAAAGAAAAAGAGAAAGAGAGACAAGAATATGTAGCCGCGGGAGTTCGAACGATCTTGACGCCATCACTTGCGTTGAGGTTAATGAGAAGGTGTGGTGGAGGATGAGTAATAGGGTGGTCGGAGGTGGAGGTGGAGGTGGAGGTGGAGGCGAAAGCGTGGTCGGAGGTGGTGTCTGGAGGAGACTCGGCTCAGATGAGGAGAGAGAAATTTATGGTTGAGGTTAAAGATGAAGATGAAGAACATGGAGTTAGGGTTTCAATTTCCAGAACAATTTGATGGGAGTTGAAGATGGGTGAGTTTAGATGGATGGTTGAGGAAATGAATTTTGGTGAAAGTTGTTGGATTAATTAAGTTAAATTAGGATTTTAATAAGTTGTGTTTTATTTATCTAAATCAGTTTATAAAAGATTAAGTAAGGGTATTGAAGTAATTTTATTAAAAAAAATTTACTATAATTGTGAAGTTTTGGAAAGTTGAATGTATGTCTAGCGGACAAAAATAGTAAAAGTTGCACGTAATATGTATCGGAGGTGGCAGTAAAAGTACATTGGAAGATAAATTTACATAGGGTATGCAAAAAAATAGAGAGAAAAAGTAATAAAAGTATATTAAAATGCAAAATTTACATGGAAAAGCTAAATTTACACAAATATTGTTGCAAACTGGAGGAAATTTTGGTAAAAAATTAATATTAATGGTTGTTGAAAAAAGCAAATGGGGTGAATATTTTTGGGACTAAAATTTGACCAAAAGGAAATATCATTAAGGGACGGATGGAATACCATAGGATAAGGGTGCAATTCGGTTTTTTTCTCTCTTATAAAAGTACAGTATTCATAACTACTTTTATACGCCACATTTTATTTTGGTATACATATTAATATGCACCCATGTCGTGATGTCAATGCACGATTGTACATAATATATCAAACTCGGGGTATGAAGAGTTATGGTTAAAAGTTTGAAAAAGGAGTATTAATTATCTAAAACATTTTTAATCCTAACCATACAATATATATTTCCTTCTACTGTTTTACATATTTAAATTGATTATAGAGATACATAAAAAATAATGATGTAGGCGAGATTTAATCTTAAATCTTGAAGATTACCCTATATACTTAAACAAAATAAGCTAATTGACATCATACATTTTTGTTTTGTAATGTACTAATGTATAATGCTCCAAAATTATTTAACTTGCGGAGTTGGGTTGGCTTAACCTATGAGAGGTGTCGGTTCAGTAGGATCCTTCATTTTACCTAAAAAAAATAATAATTATGCTCCAAAATACCCGTATCACTATGTATAATGTATGACTGTATGTCTGTATCTTATACAGTTATACAAATACATTTTTTAATTTTTATTTTTTTTTAGGATTGGTGTACAAATGTTTATGTAACATGCAGGGATAAAAATATTGTGAAAATATTGATTCGATTATGGATATGGCATCCACTTTTGGAGACTAGACAACACTATTTAACTCATTAGTACTTTGCATGTGTGGTCTACATGTATGCCCTCGGTTTTGTAGAAAGCTGGAATTATTTCTCTCGAATATTACATGCAACAATTTTATAACTATTTTTTTCAGCCTTTTATGGCTTTAATTTTTTTTTTCCTCTCAGGCCATCTTTTGGGTTAATTTTGATTCAAGCATTAGTTGTGAGTGATAAGGTTCCAGTCCCCTCTCAATTGTTGTTGCGGGGATCAAATACGCGATCCTCCCTACCAATTATAGCCCCAATCACCACTACAACACCAACCAATTGACCTTTTTATGGCTTTACATAGAGGTATTCAGCGTTATTTTGGGAAACCAAAAAAATCAAATTTTAAATTAAAAGCTAAAGAATGCATCCGATTAGATGATTAAAATTGGAGATATAAAATTTAAAATTAATACAATAATTAATTACCTTAATTGAGCTTGATTTTTACATGTATTTTTAAATTGAGATAAATCAATAGAATAAATAGCATGTTGACCTTAAAGGTACAACTCATGTAAAAAAAAACTAATGAAAATTGTGAATCATATTTGGCACACTCAAAGATAGGTCACACTCAAATTTTTCCAAAGGATTGTATTAGCTAGTTTCTAACAAATTTATTATTGTTACACACTTTTTTAGATTTAATTTAGGAGGGTTTTACCAAAAGAACATAAAAATCAAGAGAGGATTGGACATAAATTCGACAACTTTAATAGAATTTTGTATTTTTATTATATAACCATTGATAAGTGTATTGCAAATCATTCTTGCGAGTGGTGTGAACATAATTGTGATGGTTGCATCATTCTATATGCACACAAGATTATATATACTATCGTGATTCAATGAAATTAGTATCAAATTTAGGAAAATGATAATAAATTGTGATAAAATAAATAGAGCGATGTCAACTAATGTCGAATCTTGTGTGTTGTGTCAAAAATACAATATGGTGTAGACTAGTCATATACTCGGAACCCTTGTCAAACAATTAATTTGATTTTGTTGGATTGGAGGCTTTTGACATATTGGGTTCGTTTATAAATCATGGTACTTGTTCGTTTACTAGTAAGAATCTAGAAATGGGAAGTCCTTTAACCTCAACTAAACTTGTAGTAGTTAAATCACTTAGCCAAATTTACACCAAAAAGTATATGAACATTTCAGTTAAATGGTCAAGCACGCACCTACCAAACAATAATAAAATTTGAAGCAAAGTCAAAAATACAATATGGGGAAAACAAAGCATATGCACATTCACATACTTAAACTAAACTCAATAGACATTATTATTAGTGCATTATATAAGTACAAAAGTTGTTAGCACTAAACTTTGAGCAATGAATATAATTAATATAAGCTTCCCCTGGTGGGGCAAAAATGCACCAGCTAGGGCCATAATTCTCCTTGGTTTGGTCAACAACTGAGTTTGCCGTATATGCAACCGACACTTAGTTCTTATACATCGCAGTGTATGGTGCACGCCCCATTTAGAGGCCGGTGTCAATGAGAGCAAAAATGACACGTAGAAATTTTAAAGTCAGCAATAATCCAGTAAGGTAGAAACAACAACATATATCTTACAAGTAAAAATAGGCAAGAACTTTGAAATTAGAAGTACAGGCAATGGTGTCTTATGATCAAAGCTCCTGAATTTATGGTAGCTTTGAATCTCCTGTAAAGGAAGGGGGAGCAGCATTAAGTAGGGGTGAACTCTTAAAACTTTTGGTCCCATTACTTTGAGTTGCAAATGATTACTGTTTGGTTAGTTAACTACAGACTATTTCTTACAAACATTCAAAACAAGAAAATTCCAAAACTTAAACAAAGACAAATTACTAGGAAACTGATAAAAGGGAACAATTCTTTAAGATTTTGAGAAATCCATGACTTTTCGTAACCTAAAAATATAGAAGAAACATAAATTCATACGTCCTTATAAAATGTCAAAACCTACTCGTCCCATAAACAAATTATACAGAAACTGGATGATCCGATTTTTATCCAACCCAAGAATTAATATGACTATAAATGGTTAATATAACATTTACACTTTGTAATAAACTAACTAGTAAGTAGCCGGGGCGTTGCCCCAGATTACTACTTTTATAGTTGTGCAACTGCTAATTTATAAGAGCATCTAATAGTTTGTATGTAGTATGTGTCTTCAATACTTTGTAACATAATATTATTTATTGTGCAATGTTAAAACATAATTAACAATTAGTCTAGATGGTTATACAATAACTTTTCTCTAAGAAGTCAAGTGTTCGAAACTTCTCATCCATATATTTTTATTGAGGAGTTGAGTAAGTGATGTGGCAAAATGAGGGAGTCTACGTGGCGCATAGACGTTCTTAGAAACGCCTTTTAATATATTAGTATAGATTACCGATAGACTCAAAAGACTGAAACTTTCTAACCCATATTGCGATCATGCATACTTGAACCCGAAACCAAAACGAATGACTCAACACTCAAATAAGGATTATATGTTAATCATTACTCAAAGCAAAGAAAGCCCCTAGAAGATTAGAGTGAAATAAACAGAAAAAGGCTACAGAGTGAACACATATCATAGGTTACTTTTCGACATTTTTTATATTTGTTAGTCTAAACTTTAAACTAACATGAATTAGACAAGCATTGCTGGAAAGTGCAGTTAACAATATTTATGTGACAATCTTAATAGTGGAAGTGGGTAGCATGAATACATGATGCCTGGAAATTCTTGCGCAGGCAGTCAAATTTTTTTCTAAAAGCCTTTTCACAAAGTCTACATTTCACCTACTTTTAAAAAGGATTCCCAATAATTTGGATCATAATTTTAGCCAAAACACTATTTAATACTCCCTTTGTCCATTAGGATTGTTTCATACAGGAGTATTATTTATGATGTCCATTCAGTTGAGTGAGCCCATGTTCCTTTTACTTCGTATGCTTTATTTACTCACTCAACAACCCATACTAGTTTACATCGACCACACTCTTAAACAATATAATTGAAATTATAAGACAGTTTTAGTGGGACGGAGGAAATATAGAGAAAACCAAGCAATAATCCTAATTCACTTCTAATTCAATCCTAACACTCGAATAAAATGAATAAAATTGAGAATATAAGACAATGGAGATTATTGCTTGGTTACTTAAATCAGAATCTAAGGGAGTCAAAACCCTAATCATATAATCAAGATTGAGAGTAGCTAAACAGTAAACTGTTGCAATTAGTATATACTTCGTATCAATATATATTAGTAATAAAACGTTGTCAGAATTAGTTAGTATAAAAAGTGAAAATTGTGTCAAAAAAAAAAAAGTACAAAAAGTGAAAATAATGCAATTAGTAAGAAACCATTGCATGATCCCAAAATAACTGAAAACATCATAAATTTATTAACTTTAGGATGAGAAAACATACAAGTTTTTAATCTTACAAGACTACAGGGAAAACCTAATGGCATACAAAATTACAGAAGAATCTAAACTCCAATCAAGCTACATACAAAAAGAAATATGATAAATTTGATCACAAATTGTAGCATTGAAATTTCATCGAGGCTGAAGAAATTTTCAAATCTGGTAAATGGCCCCTTCTCTATACAAGTTCAATGTATACCTGCCTCCAAAATGCATAAATCACCGGCCAAAGGATAATGCTTTCCGGCTGCCACTACAATGTCCAACCAGGGGAAGGGATTCCATGCTTTTGGAACCACTCAGGCATATGAAATTTTTCATACAAGACAGGCCTAACATCATCCTGAACCGAGAGATGCTTCAGGAGCGGAAGTAAGACCTCGAGAAGCTGAATGAGAAATAGAGAATACAAATGAGTGAGCAATGTTTACTATTTTAAGTTTTTTTTTTTTTTTTCCCCTTCCGCAACTGCAGTTTGGCTAACCTGATTGTCGTGTGGCTGCCCTGCAGAAAAAGGTACACATGGAATCCCATTTACTGGCTGCAATAAGAAACTGAATGGATTGTTATCAACTATAACTACTCTGCATAGATCCGGTGAGATGCAAGATAAATCCTTCACATGATCCCGATACTCCCTGTAAATATACCACATTATTGAGCACAAATTAGTTACTTGTATACTTGAGTTGTTATAGTCAGAAAAGACACAGAATTGAATAACAATGGCACAAACTTAATGATAACACCAGATATTTTAGATTTGACTGCTTAATATAATTATTAACAAGAAATAAGTCACAGTGGTTCAACTTTCAAGTTACTATACAGCACAAATTACACAACATGTTATATCAGTTTCACACACATCCTAAGGAAATGGTCCCATCAGAGTGACGCAAAGTCAATATCAATATTCAAGGAAAATACAAGTCTTAACAGAAATTATTGCTCATCAACACTTCCACAGCAATCGAAAACTAGTTGCTTAAACTTTTTACATAAAGCAGTGCCTGGCATGACTAATGCATTCCTTAAGCATGGAAATCTCTCTGAACACCGATAAGGGTGATAACCAAGAAGAAAAATTTAGCAAAGAGTCAGTATATGTGGGTAATTTTTTCATTCCACAATATCTTCCTGCAAAAGGAGGGGGGAGGGCTATACTTGCATAGGTTTGGATAAAAAACAACAATCAGTATCACCCTTTTTTGAGGCTAGAACATAATTATATATATTAAACAGGGATTGCCCAGAAACCTGACTTTATGAATGTCTATTGGGTGTGCAATTAAGGTAGTAGCAATCTTTCTCTCTCTGCAATTAGTGACATACCACTAATTTGTTATCATATACAGCCAATTTAGATACAAGGTATTAAAGTTAGGAAATGGTGATGAAATATGTGTACATCTGGTACAATTCTACATGAAATGTCCAAGTGTCTCGGATAACACAATGCCACAAGCATAATGTTGGGTTATATATATATATATATATATATATATATATATATATATATATATATATATAATATATATATATATATACTAATTCCCATTTCCAACCTTGATCCTCTGGAGTCATTATTTGTTTGTTTCTGAAAACATAATATCTTGGACGACTGCATGAAGCAAGTTATGTAAGCTGCAAATAAATGAGAAATGCCAACTGGAAAAACCATTGATATATGACCATCCATGTATGAGTTGATATTCCGAGTGAAATTATGTTGGATACAGAAAGACATACAACAAGGCCTCAACTTAATTTGGTGGAAAATCAATGTACTCACAATATGAACAGTAATGTATGCAATTAGGAGGAAAAAGAGAGCCCTGAGTTTCAGAATACTAACGTGCTAATAGTCGATGGCCTATACAGACGACGACTGAACCGATTTTCAGCATCAATTCTGTCAACAAGAGGTCTAGCATAACCTGTTGAAATTAAGAATAAAAAAAAAATAAAAAAATAAAAAATACAGAACTGTTATAGTAGTATAACAATATAACATAACCTTATAAGATGGTCAAATGTGTGCTTTTAAGTAACTTCTTTAGATTACTTGAAAGATCCTTTTTTGGCTCTCTCTTTAACCCTATGCCTCTTATCCCTAAAAGCAGCCCCCGTGATTACCTTAAGGGGTTTCCTTTAAAAGGTTTTCGGATAACAAGGTGTGCAACATGCAAATAAGCCCATAAAGTTTGAGCATGATGATGTGAAAGTATAAAAGATCAGAAACAAATGCGAACCTTCAAGTCCAGCAGTGAAAAGAATCAAATCTGCAAATTCACTAAGTTGCTCCAAGAATTCATTCAATCCAGGACGTTCAAACACTGTCACATAATTGATTTTAGGCTTCCCTTCAAATTCCTTCAATTTGAGATACATAAATCAAGCTTCGTTCAGCAACCACAAAATAATATTAAATGAAATTTGGAAGAACTTAATACCTTGTCTGATGATACACATTCCAGCTCAAACCAATTCAAACCCGCTTCTGTCGCTTGTGTACAAAGTGTAGGCGGTAAACTAGAAGTCTCATATGCACAAACTAGTGTATCATCTAAATCAAGAACAACCTGCAATGCTTATAATGAATAGCCATTGTTACAAGGAGTCGGGGAGATCATGAAGTAGAAACTGACTGATGTCAATGAAGTAAAAAGTTGCAAAAATGTGCATGTCTGATGCATTAAATAAGAAAAGCCATTCAAATATTCAATACCTTACCTCAAACGACCAGTTTTTCACTACACATTATAGAATGAAATATGAGAACACAACAGTACAGAGAGTATAAGTGATGGATGTCCATTGTATTCCTAGCTTTGATATTGAAAATATGCTAAACCTTAGATTTAATGCTCTTTGAACCACCTACATAAATCATAATTGGCGATAAGGTTCGTAAATAACTATACATCTATGTTTCTGAACTTTATTTTTTTATTGACAGGAAGATTGAACCTTTACCCCTTAAACTAGATCCTCGATCATCCAAAATTTTACTTCTCCATGACAGGATCTTGTCCATATCTCTGAACTAAATACAGTACTCAATTATTACAGTTATCCATATTACCAGGGATAAGCAACCAGTGATTACTAATAAAGACAGGGAACTTGTCCACATTACTGAAAGTAAATCCTCAATTATTCAAATTTTCACTTCACTGGTTTTTCCTTCAGTTTGCAGATAAAAAAATTACCCCTCAAATCTAAGAATCTAATTATGGATGCCCACTGCCAGGCACCCAGTACAAGAACCACTCAAATACCATTTCTACGTCAATAAAACCCATATTCAAATGCTCAAGAATGATCAGTTCAACAGTTTCCTCCAATATGAAAATACAGTAAATGCAACTTAAGTAATTTCAAACACTAATACATAGCCAATCTGACAGCATCATATTCAATTCTCTACATTAACAAAATCTGATGCTAAAGCTAAACGGACTCCTAGTCCAAAACGGAAACCCAAACAGACTGCTGAAATCACATGAGCACTAGGACAGAAAATGTATTTCCTTTTCCTCTCCGATTAGGAAACCATATAAGTAGACTCATCATTTAGGAACATTCGAACCAATTTAACATGTAGTTTACAAAGTACAACTATTACACTGCACTTAATTACAAAAATGTGCCCTTCAAATAGCAAAGCTCACTTGCATTTAGGTATTCACTCAACCTATTTATTCAACCTGAAGAATCCATCACATAAAACAGACCTTAAGACCACAGAAAGGTCAAAAGCTAAACACCCTTACATCCCTCCTCTACTGCCAGAATTAAGTCAAATTTCATCCCAAAGCCTCCATCTTGACATTTTCTTTTTCTATTTTCCCCAATCTGATTGACTAGAAACCAACAAAAACTTAAAAACCATATTTTCCCCAATCTGATTGACTAGAAACCAACAAAAACTTAAAAACCAGCACCACACATAAGACAGCAAAACCATTGCATTAAACAAAAACGTGCTTCAACACCGAAGATGTAGGACGATAATGGAGAAATAACATCCAAGAAACCTGCCCCTATATCAACCAGGTACAAACCCCAAAATAACCCCAGACCCTCCTTACAATTTTTTTTTAAAAAAAAAAGAATAATTCTTTATGTAACTCATCAGCCCACTTTCTATACCTATTCACCTAATCATCAGAACTTACTCAATTGCGTTAAAAAAAACCCAGTAATAATCACCAACCAATGTGCTCAGTTGCTCACTTTTACCAATCAAAAATCCCATCATAACATTACCAAAAATCATAATTTCCACCATCCATCATCCATAACTCCTAGATGTCAACTAGCTTACTGACTGAAGTTAAGAGCAGGTGGTACCCATAAGGCCATGACCTCGGATCAAATCCCGTCTACATCATTACTCCCTCGGGCTCCTTATACACCCAGAAAAAACATACAGAACATAATACTCTAAACTTAGAATATATCCTAATATTAGAAAATCCTTACATTCTATCAATTAACTTTTATCCATAAAAATCAAATCATGCTAAAACAAAATAAAACCAAAATTACCTCTAAAATTAGAAATTAAAATCATAAACTCAGAAAGCAAACAATACATACGGTAAGCTTGTCCGAAGCACGAACATCGCCATCACCAGGCTCAGCAGCATCATCATCAACACCGTTGATATCGACGGCAGTAGCAGAGGAAGATTGAAGAGGAATTTCAACAACAGGAAGAGGCTTAAACCCAGTAGAAGAAGAAGGATTTGGAGGAGAGAGAAACGAGGTTTGTCCGCCATAGCTGAAACCTATGCTATTTAAGACTTGCGCCATTGAAGGAGTACCTCGAACGATCTGAACAAAGATCTGGAACAAGAAGGTTAACCAATTCAACACCGTCTTCCATAGCTGACCCGATTTCGGCGCATATACTTCAGTTTGCGCCATTTTTGAGCAAAAATTGAGCTTCAAAAAGGAGTAAAAATTATAAATTAGGGTTTTAGATTACAGAAATGAACATTTGATGCGATGATTGAATTGGGCTTTTGTTTATTTCATCGGAAATCAAAGATTAATTGGAAATCGTATTGATTGAACTGAAATTGAACTGGGTTTTTTTGAATCTGATGAAAAATTCATGAAAAATAAATAAAAGAAGTAATTATAAAGAGTGGATTTGTAACAGCGATTGATTGATTGCTTGCTTTTTTCTGCGATTCTTACTTTTTGTGTAAGTTTAGAGAGAGAATGTAGAGAGAGAAGTGATGAGGAGAGTGGAGGGAGGAGATCGTGAAGCTAGTCACCACCACCACCACCCGTATTTTTTCGAGTTCAAATGAGGTGACCTTTTTTTGGTTGATTGCATTAGATTTGTAGTACTAATAAATTAGTATATTTTTCATAAAAAAAATAAAAATAAAAATAAATAAATAAACATTAATGCATTATATTCTATTCTACTCTACCTCTGTTTTATATTATTTGCAACGATTTGACATAAAGTATCTAATCGTTGCATATAATATGAAACCGAGGCAATATTAATTCTTACATTCTAGAAAAATAAGTTTATATGAGTACTTGTTACGAAGTGTTATTACATTAATGTTGTCAATAACAATTACAGGCGTTACAACAAATGAGTGAAACAAGTGTTTGATTACTTTGCACGGAGTAGTAAAAATGTGTGGTGTTCTTTATACATTTTAAAACCATTGAGTCATCATATATTGGATCGTGGATGAGATTCGAACCAGTGATCTTTGTGTCACGTTGGCTCTGATGCCATGTTAAAGGACTAACTCAACCAAATGCTTAATCTGATAGTTGAAGCTCGGGAATATGTTTTATACTCTATCAGTAAGATTATGCAAAGTACATAAGAACAACATAGAGAAACAAATAGAGTTTTATGTGACAACATTTAATGTAATCTATAAACATAAATTCGAAGTAATTCGATCATATATAAATACAATAATATAGGGTATGAGTAAAAATTAATTTAGCCTGTCAAACCAAATTTAAATTCATCGATTGACAATGAAAATACTACTTCAAACATTTAAAGTTACATTCAATTCTCAAAAAATTACTTTATCAATCATTATTTTTTAGTCTTAACTCAATATTGTATGTAAAAGTTATCTGAAAATCTAAAACATAAGAATTGTATGTCCTTGTAGCTCAACTTGCACTGTACATGTGTAGTAAAAACTTAAGAAGTCTTAATCAATGTATTAATGAAAGCAAAATTTTAGTTTGATGTAATACACCTTTTTGAAATTTAAATATGCATTAAATGTTAAATAATTGAACATACAGAAGCTTCGTTTGAAAATTTACATCAAACATTCCATTTCAGTTTCTAAAACGACTTAAAACAGTACTGTATAAAATTAGTTTTATACCATTTGAAAAAAAAAAAAAAAAAAGGATTAAATGTATTAAGACAACTTGCTTAACATTCCGCATAATTAAGTGGGATCCATGTGAAATTATCGAATCACTATATGCATGCTTAATAATGTAAGTGATTTTATTTTAAGGGTCAAAATTTCCAACCTAAATTTATAACTACAACCAAATAATCTTTTAAAACCTCATTTCAAGTATTTTAATTTTGAAAGTGACTTCTAACATTATGTACAAAAACAATGACATGTAACATAGTGGATTAAATGAACGCATCTTGCAAATATTTTCATTATGAATAAGACTTAGCCACTCGTAGTAAAAACAAAAAGAAATAAATACATAAAACAATAATTCTTTTTACAAAGAATTATGCATGAAAAAATAATTTTCAAAGCATGTTTGCACAAGTAAGAAAAAAATCTAAAGACCTTGTAAAGTATAAACAAGATTATTTAGTAAAGAAACTCAAAAATAAAACTGACAAGGTCATTTTAGGAATAAGCATATCTTTCTTAATCATCAAATAATTATTTTTAAAATACTTTTTACTGTTATGTTCAAGTTAACCAACAACTTTTTCAAGTTGATTTGTTTGAATTATTCATCAAGGCGGTACAATTCTTTATTTTGACCTACATTTCACTTACACTATTCAATGAATTAAATGCATTTTAAAGCAACGAGTTTGAAACTTACTTTGAACATTAAATACCCTTTAATAAAGATAAAAAATGGAATTGATCACATGTTTTAATTTACATTTTTTAAAAATCATTTGTAGTGCATATGTGCAGCCATGCAGGATTTTAAAAATTAGTCAGAGGTAGTAATTTATCCATTGATCAATCAATATAAACATAACGAAAATATTCATGTATATTCTCATTCTAAAAATGAGTCATTTTCAATAAAGTAAGTACAGTAAACTGTAAATTTAATTGATACGGACTATTTTTTTACTCTCCCTGTTTCGTAATAATTGCAATAAAGTTTTAGGAAATTTATATAGTGGAGTCGAAAAGAGAATTTTATAATATAAAATATAATTAGTGGAGATATATTTAATTACTGCGGAGTAGTATAAAAGATAAATAATAAAAAAGTAGTGTAAGTGAGTTTGATAAGAGAGAAAATTAATACAGTAAAATAGCAATGGATTCTTACCAAAAAAAAAAAGTACTACAATTATTATCAAACGGATATAAAAGAAAAATGTTGCGATTATTAGACACCAAGGGAGTAAAAAAATAGTGCTCGGTAGTACATAAAATCCCACGATCCCAAGTTGAAGAAATAGTTATGATTGTTCTGAGAATGAGCCAATAAGAAGAGACAAATCTGAACTTCTTTTTTTGAGCTAATTATTTATAAAGTGGCCATAGTTGTGCACTTGTTGTGCTTGCTCTGTTCAAGTGCTTCCAAATTTATTTTAGTATTATTATCCCTTTTTTTCCCTGACTTAGATCAGATACCCAGAAATTCACGCGACTTCTCTGAATTATGTGACAATTCTTCAGGTATTTTCATTACAGTACGTTTTTATTTTTTTGTATTTGGTCAAGTTTATATAGTACTACATGGCCTACATTTTTTGGTTACTAAGGTAGATGAATTGGTCTAGTTTCATTCATTTTGGTACTTGCTGATTTTAAATGTTGCAATTGTTCACTTCCCCTCATGTAAGGGGTATGTAGTACTGAACGATCCGTCCATATCCTGGTTTTGTTTTATTCTTGTGTACGTATGGTTGAAGAATTCGTCCACATTTGGCTTCAATTGGTATGCCATTCATCAAGAGGATAGGTTGTGGGTCAAACTCCAATCGTCTGTTCAGCCACTAGTTCAGTACAAATTGGCACGTGGTTTCTTTATTTTTTTATACGAAGTATATAAATATTGATAGTTTGAATCGACATGATGTGAAATTACTCATTTTATTAAAAACATTTTCATTATAACAATTTTTTTTTTTTTTTTTTTGTTATGTCTAAGATTACACATTGTGTAATTTTCTCCTCCTTTCTCTCTCCTAAACCCTAGCCTCCTACACGTATGGTGAAAAGCCTCAATCCTTATTTCTTTAAAAGTCTTTCTAGGTTTATAATAATTTCTTTTGGAACGAACTTTTCTCCCTCAAAAGAAAGGGTTTTCAATCTCCTTCGAAAGACAAGGGTTTTTCGACCTCTTTCGAAAGACAAGGTTTATCTCCTATTTTCGGAGGAGAATTTTCTTGGGTTTGAATCCATGATATTAGATCTAATGGATTGTCGTGAAATTATTTCGTTGGTGAAAAATTATGTAAGATCGCAAGAGGGTTATCAAGCTTTCGAATACAATCGGATGAATCAGAAGGAAAACATTCTCAGATTCCTCACGCTACAAAGATCGTTAGATTGTCTCTTCAACAAGATTGTATTTACCAACGATATAAACGAGAGATGTTTCACAATGCAAGATCTAATCAACAATCGTAATTTTTATAAAGAAATTTTTTATTTGATTCAATATCTTATGTATTTGTTAAAATCGAATCTCTTGTGTAGATGAAATTTTCTATTGTACACCACTATCGTAAAATAAAGAAGATTGCAATTATATCATGGAAATCATTCATGCACGTAAAATTGTCGGAGAATCATTGCCATAAATACATATAGGTATGAATTTACCGTTCACCGATTGGTGAGATTACCATAAACATAAGAGAATATCCTACTTTTCTACCTAATAATACTAGGCCTTAAAATTACAGGTTTCATTATGACCTTGCTTTTTAAGTAGCTTTTGCTACTAAAGGCGAAAACCATATTCGGTAAAGTTGTACGATGTTAAGGTAGTGTTTTGGAAAAGCTAAAATAAAGCTTATACGTGACCAAATTCTATTTGAAAATGTACGTACTAACAAGGACTAACATACTATTCCCATCGCCAAAAGAGTTTCCTAACGTTTTCCTTCTTTTTCTTACCAAAAAAAAAAAAAAAAAAAAAAACAAAAAAAAAAACTGAGCACCAACATCACTTGCTATGAAAGGCGATGCATACGGACATGCCAAAGCTGGAATTCGGCCCATGTGACATGACTAATATAATTCATACAAGCCCATCACACAGCATACCCAAGGCCCACGAGCCAAATATGGAACACAAAGACAGATTAATAGCACCAAGGTTCTGTCTGACTGGCTGATACTGATACAGTTGGTCTGAGAAGATGGTAGGTACCACAGTGCCCAACACATTTCAGTCATCGGCGGGGCTTGCTGATGGACCGGCAAAGTCCTAACAACACGTATTGGTCTTCACCAATCACTAGCAAGAATAGCCCCATTTGGCCATAGATGAAAGTCATTGGGTCCAGACTAGGCGAAAATATAAGGTCAGTATGTAAGGATTACAGGACTTACTGCCACGATTCACGGTTGGGGTGGCTTGGGAAGGAGAGATGTTCTATTTTAATGTCCCAAGCAATCCCAATGAAAATCAACAATGGTTTTCAGAAAACCAAAAAAAAAAAAAACTGGCATTCATGGAGTTGATGATTAGCATTCCAAAACAGCAAAATTTTGGGCGTACAATACAGTAAATTTAGCTGTAACATATACGTTGGTTAGCCTCCATTCGATCAGGAAACCAATTCCCTCAACAGCAGGGAGATGAAGTACAACAGTCGAAACCCGCCAAGACAAAAAAACAAGAAAGAAAAAACACAACACTAAACTCTAAAACTATGTACAGCATCCTTTGGCTGTAATATTTACACTATTTTGGACACAAGATCGGTATCTTGCACAGATTTTGCAAAGATGATGCACTTAACCAGAAAGAACACCTTCAAATGCAAGTATGCAAATGCCCACTTCCTACCTTCCAAAAAGAAAAAGAAAAGGATTTTCCTTTTTAATTTTTCTTTTACCTTTCACTGAATAAAAAAATTACATGGTGAGACACAAAACCATAGTTGCAGGTGATGCTGAAACTAACAACTACGAAGTATATGGTAAGGAAAGCCAAGGGTGCTCAAGCGCTTGTCTTGCTGTAGGGCGCCCTCGAGGA